TGTTGAAGAGACTCCCACAAATGCCATTCCGTTGTTACTGGGGGCAGGGTCCTGGGCTCTGGGATCCGGGTTTTGTTGAACCTTGTGGATTTCACCACCCAAGGGGAGCCCTTCCTTATGTCATCATCTGCTTGCGGATGTTCTGGAACTGAAGCATGAATGAGGTGGGTTTGTTTCCCGTGGCCAGCCGCCCCGCACTCCACTCAGCTCCCCTGAAACCTGCGGCCCGGGCCTCAGCACAGCCCCAGTGCGAGCGGCCTTGAGCGCGCTTGCAAACAGCCCTGTCTTGGCGAGATTGAGAATGGCACCTGCACCTCACTTTTTTCTTACTAAAAATTTTTTCAACTTTTGAAAAATATTGCCATACAAAAGTATATGAAATGTTTGTTTAATTTAAATAATAAATCTAGGTGTATCCGAGTCAGTGTCTCGGAGGACCCCTGCTTGCCCCTCCTCCCATCCAGACAGCACCATCGTCCTGGACATTTTGTTACTCGTTGCCTTTTCTTTATAGTTTTACCATCTGTTGCTGTGAGCAGCCGCCTCAGAACTTCGTGACAAACCACCGGCAGTTTATTCTCCCAATTTGGTGCGTTGACTGGGCAGTTTCTTTTGTTCCATGGGGTGTTGGGGTCATTCATGTGACAGCATTCAGCTAGTAGCTGGGCTGGAAGGTCCAGGAAAGCGTCTCGCATCCCGCTGTCTGCTAGGGCCTCTGAGTTCATCATGTGGCCTGTGCCCATGGCGTCTCCTCCGGGGCCCCTCCCTGCACCCTCTCTCTCCGACAGGAGACCCTGGGCATCCCTACGGTGGGGTGGCTGGGTTGCAGGAGAGCCACGCGGAATCTGCAGCCCTCTTAAGGGCCAGGCTTAGAATGGGCACCGAGTCCCTGCCTCTCGTCGGTCAGAGCCACCCAGATCCAGCTGGAATCTCCTAGCAGGTGTGGTGGGATGGCGGGACTTGTTGGCGGCCATCCGTGTCCACGTTGCTTAGTTGTGCCTGTTTGGAATCACACTGCAGGGCTTCTCCAGGTCCCTGGCTTTTCCATTCCCAAACGAGTTCCCTGTGAGGCAGGCCAGGGCTGTGTGTCCGGCCGGGTGGGTGGCCATCAGAAGAGAGTCCCAGCTCTGACGCCAGACGTCTGCCCCATTCATCAGACCACGGAGAAGGTCACAGGACAGGAGTGAGAAGTTTCTGGAAGGTTGGGCCATTTCTTGAGTGGACAAGTCATGTGCCAGTTGGTGGCTTCATTTTCTGCATCTAACCTGAGGGCTTTGGGCTAGGTGGGCTCTGTGGTCTTGTTCTGTTTGCATTTTCTGTAGTTCTAAGCTTTTAGGGTCTTACTTAGAGTAGCTTTAAGGCCCACATTTATCGCCCTTAAAGCAAGACGAGGTAAGGGAACCCCCCACACTTTTGCTTGAGTGAAGGCACTGCATAGCAGGGGTGGGGCTGTGGGAGCCGCACTTGATCACCGACATGAGGTGACAGCGCTGTTGATCTTATTACTGCTTCAAGTCTCCTCGGACTAGGTGACCCCTGGGTGCATGCACTGACTGGGGTGGGCAGCTCCCCGCTCCTGTGGGGCCCACACATCCAGCTGTGTGGCCCAGGCAGGTGCCCTCACCTCTACCCAGGCTCCTCTGAGCTTGGCCAGATCGCGGTGAGTTCGTTTCACTGTAGAGTGTAGAAGGAAACAAGACAGTGGGAGGATTGCCGTGATCTTCTAGAGCATTTCATGTAGCTCTGGAGGTGGGGCACTGCCAGGTTCTAGCGCGGCCCCTCTGAGGGGAGGACCACGCCAGCTGGCCCCTCACCTGCTCACCACCTCGCCTTAGGGAGAAAGGGGCTGCTGGAGCTTTCTAGGGGGGGCCACCTGGCAGAGGGGAGCGCTGGGGGCAGCTGGGGCCTCTGAGCTCCATCTGCTAGTGGGGGGGGGTTATAAGGTCTCCAGTGCTGCTGACAGCCTGTGTGGGGGACCCCATGAGCACTTGGGGAGCCCCCACGGCTGCGCTGGCACTCCCCGGGGCTGATGGCAGGACTGGGCTCGCTGGAGCCTGTGTTTAAGGCTACTCATCTGCGTGTGGCAGCGGCCTCTCCCTCCCTCCTTCCCTTCCTTCCTTCCTTCCTTCCTTCCTTCCTTCCTTCCTTCCTTCCTTCCTTCCTCCCTCCCTCCCTCCCTCCCTCCCTCATGGTTCTGCTCCCTCCCTTTCCTGGTCTTCCGCTGCTTCCTCTCTCACCCTCTCTCCCAGTTTGTCGCTTCCTTTTCTTTCTTTGATTTTGTCAGAACAGATGCACCTTAGGAGTGTTTCTCCATTGGAACAGCTTTGGAGGCAGCCTTGGGGGACCCTGCAGGCCTCCGTGTTCTGGCCCCCACACCCACGTCTGGGAGGCAGCTCATGTCGGAGGCGCGTGGTTAGCGTTGGGTAGAAAACAGTCCCCGTGGGCCCCCACTGCCCTCCTGGGGTGGGGGGGCACGGGAGGTACCGGGCCACCAGCCACCCTCTCCTAGGACCTTTATCGACCCCGCCAAGGTCTCTGAAAAGAGCGCCCCCCTCCGTGTCCAGCCCCAGGAGAGCCGGCTCTGTGCCCTTCCCGCAGCAGCTCGAGGGCTCGTGGCAGCCCCCTTGATCGGCCGCCCTCAGACCTGGCAGCCCCCTTCCACCCTGGGGTGTCCTCTCAGGTTTCTCTTCACTGCAAGTCAGGTTGCCTTCCGGCCAGAGGGTTCTGCCTTCAGCCGACTCCAGCCCAAGGGCCTGGACCAACTCTGTACCTTGGTGGGGGGGGGGCGTTGTTCAGCGGATGCTTCCTGATTGTTTCTGAACCTGGGAGACACTTCCTCCCCCTTCAGTTTTCGGGTCGGCTGCTGGTGAAGGTGAAGGAGCCGGGGCCGCTGCCAAGTGCCAAATGGGCTTATTCTGAAGCTGAGGGAGCATCTATCTGACCCTTGTGGGCTCTGGTGCTTCTCCCTTTCTGCACTTGGGAGGGGTTTCTGCACCTGGGCTTCTGAGGACATTGGGAGTGACTAGTGACGGGGACACGCGCTCACGTGCCTCCCCCTGGCCCCAGCGAGAAGGCAGATCTGGGGGTGAGCTGGCCTGGCCTCTCCTTGCCCCCCGCCTCCATCCCCTGTACCCCTTGCCCGGCGTGTACTGCCTTCGGATCCTAGGCCTGAGTGCCCCTGCCTGGGTGTTCAACCCATGGACTGGACACTGGTTCTTTTCCATGTTCTCCAGAAACGTGTCTATTTTAGTTTTTACCAGCTCGGGCACAGTGGCCAGAATTCCCCTCTCATTCATCCCTTCAGGTCACAGCAGGAACTTGCTTGTTCCAGGGACTGAAGACCGACAAGGACGCCTTCCCAGGCGTCATGTGTCCATAGGGGCCTCTGCTTGGGGGCTGGCCCCTGGTGCCTCTCTGCCGAGCTCTAGCTGGCGGTGCGGTGACGGAGCAGAGACCCAAGAAGCCGTGGGAGCTTGTGTGTGGAGGCGGAGATCGAAGGCCGGTCGTGGGGATGCGGGAGGGAGGGAAAGGCTGTTTCTGGGTCTCCAGCAACAGCTGCTCTGAACTCACAGCTCAGGCAGAGGCTGGCACATGACGCACAGCCTGTTGTCACCGCCACGTTCCCCCTCCCTCCCTGGAGCCCTGCCTGCCTGCCCGGTGACCTCCCCCGGCTCAGCAGACACCTAGCCCTGCTTTTGCAGTTTCCAGACACCACAGGGTGGGTGGGCTTTGCTGGCTAAGCCCCTGCAGGTGGGGAGGCAGGCGTGGCTTCCCTCGCTGCTCATCACAGCCAGACCACCATACACGGTCAGGGCTCCTGCACAGTGACTCACCCCCAGGAGGCTGATGTCACAGAACAGTGGGAGTGCGTGAGGGGCTGCTGAAACCTGGGGGCTGGGAGCCCCAGAGTGTCATTCTCACTTGCCCAGAAAGAGCCTGGGGCAGCTCTGAGCAGACCCAGGCCTCAGATGCCGGACCAGGGCCTGACAGCCTGGCCCTGGGTTGGGGGGCGGGGGGAGGTCTGTGCAGTGTGACCCCAGGAGTGTGTGTGACTTTTATTTTGAAACTGGGTCTTTCTTGAACTGAGGGCCTGCTATTTTCCCTATAAAATGCTGGTCTGAGATGCACTCTGGTGTGGTGCTGCTGGGGAAGAGAGGGCTGTTTTAGGTACTTATTTAGTCATGGCTTGTGGTAGTTCGTGGTTATTCGGCACCAGGCCATGGAATTTTTCTGAGCATTTTCACTTGAGACAGCTGTGGGATTTCCAGGCATCAAGGGAGGCCTTCGCCAGAGAGGCTGCAGCCAGCCCCGCAGCTCTTGGGGTCAGGACCAGAGTTCACTCTTCCTCCAGGGACAGCCTGGAGAGGTTTCTGGAGGCAGAGGACTCCCCAACTTTATGCAATTCCCTGAGCCTATGAATCAGAGCGAGCGACAGATCCCTGCCCCCAAGGGCAGGACTTTACCCGAGCCCTGTGGGTGCTGCAGGAGGGGGTCCGTTCCAGAAATGTTGGGAAATGGAGCATCTGTCTTCCCAGACGCACGTCTCACCTGTGTGTGACAGGACAGGGAAAACAACAAAATGGGTTTTTGTAAAGCCAAATGTATCGAGTTGAAGGAGCTGTCCTTCTAAGATTATGTCATGCATTCTTTTTGTAAAAAATGTTAAACTGACCATGTGTTTTTCTTTTTTAATGCTCACCGTCATCAGTGTTTTGTGTTTGTTTTTTGACTTTCTAATGTCATTACCTGGCAAAACGCAAAGGTGGCTGTTTTCTGTTGGTCCCTCAGTGCTTTTGGTTTTTGCAACTTTGCTGGCCAGTTAAACCCAGGGACCTGGGAGCTGCTGGTCAGCCTTGGCTTGCAGAGGGAATCTGGAGTGATTTACCCTTGGTGGATTTACTTCTCCTGTGCGCTTCTCACCTGGGAGTTGGGGGGCTGACCGTTGGGCGGGCTGGCGTCCTCTCTGTCTGCTAACACGAAGGCCCCCTGGCTTTCCGCAGCCATGGATTTTCCCCAGCACAGTCGGCACGTCCTGGAGCAGCTGAACCAGCAGCGGCAGCTGGGACTGTTGTGTGACTGCACGTTTGTGGTGGACGGGGTTGACTTCAAAGCCCATAAAGCAGTTCTGGCGGCCTGCAGCGAGTACTTCAGGATGCTCTTCGTGGACCAGAAGGATGTGGTGCACCTGGACATCAGTAACGCGGCAGGTACCCCGTTGGGTCCAGGGCCGCGCTTGCAGAGGCTCGGAAGCTGTGGCCGGCTCTGTGCCATGCGAGGCCCTCCTGACGTTCCTGACACGGCCCCCGCCCCCCTTGGGGTGGCACCTTTGAGCTGAGGGGTGCGCCAGGCCTCCCACATGGGACCCGGGCCACGAGTGTGTGGGCACCGAGGTCCTTCCACATTTGGGGGGGCCTGTTTTGACTGGGAGCTGGTGGGTAAGAAGAGAACCGACAGGAAGGGCTCGTGGCAAGCTCTGGGCCGGAGTGCACGTAGGATAGGCTCATCAGGAGGGACAGAGAACAGGGGTGCTCTTCCCAGCCCCTGACCCCTTCCTGTGGCCCAGCCCGTCCTGAACCCCTACCCTCGTGCTAACCATGATGGGGATGGCCACGGTTGGGGCTCGGAGGGGTGTCAGGAAGACCTGCGGATTGAGAAGGAACTGGTCCTAAATTTGGCTCCTAACCCAGAATGGCGGACCTGCCATGAGGAGGTCAGGGCGAGGTGGTGGTCCCCCAGTTTACAGATATGGAAACAGACCCAGAGAGGTCAGGTGACTGGCCTGGAGGTCAGATACGTTTTGGCAGAGCCCTCATCAAAGCCGGTGCTGACACCCTCTTGTTGGAGTGTCCTCCAGTGGTGGGGTGTGGTGGCTGAGTGGTGGAGAGTGTACCGGGGGGGGGGGGGCATTCACACCGCTGTCCTCGTGCAGGGTGGGCGTTCACACCCCGTCTTCCGTGTCGAGTGAGGATTCACACCCCTGTCCTCCGTGCAGGGCGGCTGTCACCCCCTCTGCCCTCTGTGGGGGTACTTCATTTCAGAGGCTGTGGTCTGGGCGCCAGTATGGGGGGGGGGCGCTGGTGGCCTGCCACTCTGCTTTTCACAGATCCCTGGGTCCTGCTGCCGAGTGGGGCAGCTGAGCCGGCTGCTGGTGCCAGGCCTTGAGGCGGGTCCGTGATGGCTGTCTGTGTCCTTGGCAGGCCTGGGGCAGGTGCTGGAGTTCATGTACACGGCCAAGCTGAGCCTGAGCTCTGAGAACGTGGATGATGTGTTGGCCGTGGCCAGCTTCCTGCAGATGCAGGACATCATCACGGCCTGCCATGCCCTCAAGTCACTGGCTGAGCCGGCCGCCAGCCCTGGGGAGAATATGGTGGCCTCGGCCACGGAAGGTAAGAGTCTTGGCAGGCTGTTCCTGAGCAGGCGGCTTTGGATGGGGTGTTGCCTCTTACTCTCTCTTTCCTCTCTCTGGGCCTCAGTTTCCTTACCCGGCCTTGCCTGCACTGTGGGGTGCTAGTAAGAAGTCTCAGGAAGACCTTCCGAGCGGCCCGTCTGCCTACCCCTTCCCCACCATTTACCTGCTTGCTTTGTGCTCTGCTGCCCCAGAGAGCTGGGGGCGTGCCTGGCCCAGACCTCTGCACACGGGGGTCGCTCCTCCGGCTGCCCGTCCCCTCTCGTGCCCTTTCTCCTGACGCTGGCTGTGGGCCAGATTCTCATGGTACCCTTTGCAGAGAACCCCACTCCCCTCCTAAGCGCTGACCCTGAGCAGCGGCATTGTTTTGCGTGTGGGGTGTACCCCCTGACCGGTGTGGGAGCCCCACGAAGCGGTACCGGGACTGTTGATCCGCCGCCAGGCGCGTGGAGTAGGTGCCCGGGGAGACAGACTGGCAAACCACTACGTAGATGTATCCCCAGGGAGGATCTGGAAGAGCTAGCAAGTACTGGGCCACCTCACCCCTCCAGGTGATGGGCACATGACGGGAAATGGCAGGTCTGTCCTGTTCCATCTGCAGGAGGAGACAAGAGAGCCAGAGAGGAGAAGGCGGCTGCCCCCACGCTGGGTGAGCTGGGCCCCGCCGGCAGCGGTCCGCCCACAGGCCCGGGCAGGGAGCCCAAAGAGGAGCGGGGCGGCCAGGCCGAGAGCAGGGCCAGCGGTGAGTTGCGGCACCGAGGACCCGGCCAGCCGTCGGTCCCAGCCCGTCCCGGCACCCCGGGGCGGGGGGGGGCGCCGGCAGCTGCACCCCTTGAGCTCTGGTTACTAGAGTGACCCGTTGTTCGCTCTGGGGCCCCTGTTCCAGCCAGAGCAGAGGCACAGGCAGCCTGCGTTTGGGGCCTCAGCCGCTCCCGGGGGCCCGGTGCAGGAGAGCCTTTCCGGCCGGACGGTAGGCCCTAATCCAGCCTCGCGTGTTCCCACACCACACCCAGGGGCCGAGCAGACGGAGAAGGCTGACGCCCCCAGGGAGCCGCCCCCTGTGGAGCCCAAGCCCGACCCCACGAGCAGCATGGCCGCTGCCGAGGCCGAGGCCGCCTTGTCAGAGAGCTCGGAGCAAGGTACCCTGCCCCCGGCCGGGCCCAGCCAGCCGGCACTCACGCCCCCCAGTGTCCCTCCCGCACCCTTCCAGTGGATCCCACTGTGAGTCCCACTTTAGCTTTGGGCCCAAGGCATCTTTCCATTCTCGAAATCTGGCCTCTGTGTCTTGGGGACGCACCCGGCCGTGCTTCTGCTGGCGCGGGAGTGTTGCTGGGGCAGCGCCGAGCGCCAGCAGGGAGCCCGCCCCCACCGCGGAGCAGGTCCTGAGTCCCCGGGGGACACTGGTCCACGGCACCCCCTCCGAGCAGCGGAAGGCCCTCTCCCCGGCTAGCGCCCGGCCGGCTTGTCTGCGGCTGCGGGACGGAGCGGGGCCCTGTGGGGAGCCCAGGCCCGAGGGCAGCGGAGCCCAGGCCTCCGCCTCGGCCTTCACTGGCTCTGAGGTCGCGACCTGCCTGCAGAGGCCCCTTGTCGCCCTCCCAAGCGCCTCAGTGCCTGCCCTTCTCACGGCAGAAACGGAGCTGGAGCCGGCCAGGAAGGGAGAGGAGCGGGAGGCGGAGGGCGCCGCCGAGGTCAAGGAAGAGGGGCCGCCGCTGGAGAAGGGGGAGGCCCCCGAGGAGAGCGAGGAGTCGGCCAGCACGGACTCGGGCCACGAGCTGGGCGCCGAGGCCCGGGGCCTGCGCTCGGGCACCTACGGCGACCGCACGGAGTCCAAGGCGTACGGCTCGGTCATCCACAAGTGCGAGGTGCAGCCCTGCCCGCGCCCCTGGCCCCCCCCCCCGCCCCCGTCCCCGCCGGGTCCCTGACACCCCGCGCCCTCCCCCCCCCCGCAGGACTGCGGGAAGGAGTTCACGCACACCGGCAACTTCAAGCGGCACATCCGCATCCACACGGGCGAGAAACCCTTCTCGTGCCGCGAGTGCAGCAAGGCCTTCTCGGACCCGGCTGCGTGCAAGGCCCACGAGAAGACTCACAGGTACGCACCCCCTCCCCCACCCGCCGCCCGCCGCGGGGCCCGGCCTCTGGGAGCCCAGCGACCCTCGCCTCCCTGTCGCCCTGTGACCACCAGCCCGCTGAAGCCGTACGGCTGCGAGGAGTGCGGCAAGAGCTACCGGCTCATCAGCCTGCTGAACCTGCACAAGAAGCGGCACTCGGGCGAGGCGCGCTACCGCTGCGAGGACTGCGGGAAGCTCTTCACCACGTCGGGCAACCTGAAGCGCCACCAGCTGGTGCACAGCGGCGAGAAGCCCTACCAGTGCGACTACTGCGGCCGCTCCTTCTCCGACCCCACGTCCAAGATGCGCCACCTGGAGACCCACGACACCGACAAGGAGCACAAGTGCCCCCACTGCGACAAGAAGTTCAACCAGGTGCGCGCGTGCCCTCGGGAGCAGCCGGTGCCCCCCCTACGCCCCCTCCCCCTGGGGACACTGGGGGGGGGGCCGGGGAGGAATGGGTGGGGGCGGGGCGAGGGCCCCCAAAGAACCGGGGGGGGTGGTTCCCCGTTTCCGCTGCTGGGACCTGGAACGTGCCACGGGCCGCGAGGAAAGCTGGAGCTCCGTCCTGGGGGCCCCGGGGTCAGGGCTGAGCGTCCCTTGTTCCGCGGGGGGGTGGGGGTGGGGCGCGCGCCGAGGCCATGTTCTGCCGGGTGGCCCTTCTGACCCCGGCCCGGGCACAGGTGGGGAATTTGAAGGCCCACCTGAAGATCCACATCGCCGACGGGCCGCTCAAGTGCCGAGAGTGCGGCAAGCAGTTCACCACCTCAGGTAGGCGCCCCCCCCACCCCCACCCCGGCTCCGCAGCCTCCCCGCGGCGCCTCACACCGGCCCTCCCCGCGTCTCGCCACAGGGAACCTCAAGCGGCACCTCCGGATCCACAGCGGGGAGAAGCCGTACGTGTGCGTCCACTGCCAGCGGCAGTTCGCGGACCCCGGCGCCCTGCAGCGGCACGTGCGCATCCACACTGGTGGGTGCTCGGCCGGCGGGCGGGGGTGGGGGGAGCGGGGGAAGGCGCTGGGCTGGGGTGCCGACGCCTTCTCCTGCCCCCCCTCCCCCCCCCGCCCCAGGCGAGAAGCCGTGCCAGTGCGTGATGTGCGGCAAGGCCTTCACCCAGGCCAGCTCCCTGATCGCGCATGTGCGCCAGCACACCGGGGAGAAGCCCTACGTTTGCGAGCGCTGCGGCAAGAGGTCCTGGCCCTCACCCCTGCCCCTCCCCCCCCTGGCACGCCCCGGGCCCCATGGGGGTCCCCGGCAGCCTGCTCGCTCGGGGAAGGGGGTCAGGAAACGAACCTAAGCTCGGTTGGCAACGGGCCCAACTGCTGGCCCAGCCCAGGCAGAGGTCCCCGGGGTCCTCCCGGATCTAGAAGAGGAGGCAGGAGGCCCCAGCCCAGCTCCCCGGCTCCCCCCCCCCGCCGCCTCCCGCTGCCCTGGGGCTCGCAGTTCGGTGCCAGCCGCTTGCCCTGCCCCTCCCGCAGATTCGTCCAGTCCAGCCAGTTGGCCAATCACATTCGCCACCACGACAACATTCGCCCTCACAAGTGCAGCGTGTGCAGCAAGGCCTTCGTGAACGTGGGGGACCTGTCCAAGCACATCATCATCCACACCGGTGAGCTTGTGGCCGCCTGCCCTCTCTGGCCCTTGTTCTCGGGGGTGGGGCTGGTGGGAAGGGAGGTCCCTCCACATCCCAGCCTTGGGTGCCAGTTCTTGCTTCAGGGGGCCTGGGAGGTTCAACTTCAATGAGGACCCCGTTTTCCTAGTATCCAGAAGGTGTGGTGGTCACTGGAGGCTTCTGTGCAGCCCTGGTGGCTGCCCCAGAGCACTTGCTGCTGGAAAAGACAGGGCTTTGGGGGAAGCTGGAGGCCACTGAGGTCCTCCCCCCCCCCCAACGGCAGGCGAGAACCTTGCCTTCCCCCCCAGGAGAGAAGCCTTACCTGTGTGACAAGTGCGGTCGTGGCTTCAACCGGGTGGACAACCTGCGTTCTCACGTGAAGACCGTGCACCAGGGCAAGGCGGGCATCAAAATCCTGGAGCCCGAGGAGGGGGGTGAGGTCAGCGTGGTCACCGTGGATGACATGGTCACGCTGGCCACCGAGGCACTGGCGGCAACGGCCGTCACTCAGCTCACAGGTGCGGGCTGCGGGCAGCAGGGGGTGGTCACGGGCAGCTGGCCTCCGCGGTGGCCGCGACGGGGCAGGCGCCTGAGGCCTGAGGCCCTGCGGACTCCGCCCGCCTTTGCCCGCAGTGGTACCAGTGGGGGCCGCGGTGACCGCCGACGAGACGGAAGTACTTAAGGCTGAGATCAGCAAAGCCGTGAAGCAAGTACAGGAGGAAGGTGAGGGGGGTCGCCCAGAGTGTGAAAACCGGTGGACCCCCCGAGGGCTGTCCCCGTCCTGACCATGGCCCCCCCACCTCCCACAGACCCCAACACCCACATCCTCTACGCGTGTGACTCCTGTGGGGACAAGTTCCTGGACGCGAACAGCCTTGCGCAGCACGTGCGGATCCACACGGCCCAGGCGCTGGTCATGTTCCAGACGGACGCGGACTTCTACCAGCAGTACGGGCCAGGCAGCGCGTGGCCGGCCGGGCAGGTGCTGCAGGCTGGGGAGCTGGTCTTCCGCCCTCGGGACGGGGCCGATGGCCAGCCCGCTCTGGCAGAGACTCCCCCCACAGCCCCTGAATGCCCACCGCCTGCGGAGTGAGCGGGCGGCCCTCCTTGTGACTGTTTATTTAAGGATGGCTGGCACCCTAGATCTGAGAGGGGTGGCCCCGTTCCCTAGAGAGAATAAATTTGATTATTTTCTAACGCTGCCTATAGCTCCCTGTGGGGGGTGGGGCGGGGAGCTGGCAGAGCTGTGGCTGAAGCCACGGAAGGGCTGCCCCTCCCAGGCACCAGCCGGCACCGACCTGTTCCTTGGCAAAGCCGCCAGGCTGTCCCTCCCACAGAGTGGGACTGGTACCTCTGGACCGGTCTAGAAAAAAAAAAAAAAGGCTGGCTTCCTTGTCCGGAGTCGGGGTGTGGGCGGCACGCTTGGGGCCAGAGAGACCGTGGCTCCGTGCACCCCAACCCCTCATCCAGTCTCCTCCTTGGGCTTCTCACCTGTTCAGCTTCAGGACCTGAGCTCCCCTCTCCGCCATGGAGCACAGCTGTGACGCTGCTCCCCCCTCTGCCCATTGGGTTGGCTTACCAGGATCCAGGCAACCCAGAGACAGCCCAGCTCAGAAGCCCATTCAGCCAGAGCGGCAAGGTAGGCAGAGAGCCAGGCCCACCGGGCCATGGGCCCAGTTCTTTTGGGCTTGGGGAAGCAGGAGGGCACCCCCCTCACTTCACAGGATCAAGGCCGAGCCAGTGCCCCACTCTTTTGGGAACATTTATTTGCCCTGAATCGATGGAGTCTACGACCAGGCTGAGGGTCAGAAACCCATGGCCAGGAGCTTTGATGGGGGGAGGTGGGGGACACGGCCAGCAGGGGCCGTGGAACAGCTCATCCTTACCCTCCTCAGCAGGGAGAGCTGATGCCGTCCCTGCCCCTCTGCAGTTTGCTCCGAGCAGTTGTAATCCCTCCCTCAGAGATGGCGCCACCTCCTCACTACGAGAGCCCCGTGATTCTCTCAAGTGAGACCATCACCTCTGTGGTCCTGTCCCCACCCCCCCCCGGCCTCCGCCCCCCCCCCCCCGCCACCTCCCCAGCTTGTAGCGGGTCCAGCTGCAGGGGAAGCCGGGCCCAGTTGCCCCACCCTCCTTGCTGGCACCGGGGCAGACCCAAAGGAGGAAGGGGCAAAAGACGAGACACCAAAGTTTGCCTGCGAGGTTTCAGTTTGCCTGGTGGGTGGTTCCCCCCGCCCCTTCCTCCCCCTGCCCCCCCCCAATCAACTTTGAAGTGCCTTCCACGTTACCGAGAACAAATAAGTTCAGTCTGTGGCAGAAACCTCTTTTATACAAGATAACACGATGCTTGGGGAGGATTAAGTGGCAGGAAGGGAGCAGGTCCCCTGGACAGACTTGGGGAGGGAAACAAGCGGGATGAGGGCCAGCTGTTCCCATAAGCAAAGGACCCTTGGTCCTCCCAAGTGACAATCACATCCACACTTGAGACGTGTTTTGTATTTTTTAATAAAGTTTGTAATCCAATGGACACACAAAACAAAACTGCGCTGAGAAAACCAGTTTCATAAATTAATAAGTGTTAGGAAGTTGGGGGGGGAAGGTCAAGGTAACAGGAAGAGGGGAAGCCAGTCTTTTTTGTAGTCTTTTTGTGTGTGTGACACTTCCAAATCGCGGGGGCAGGGCCCGTGCTGTAACGAAGCGCACTTATACAAATGAGTGACAATACAAAGTCTGAGTATGAAAATAAGATTCTTCTCTGAAAACACATTTTTGGCACAGATTAAAAAAAATGTATGTCAGGGGAATTTGATTTTTTTTAAGTCAGTATTATATATATTTATATATATTATATATTTATATATACACACATCCCAAGTTCCGCATATCCCACCAGGAAAGAGAATCCTTCTGTCTGCTCTTTTTCGATTGTAAACTATACATCCGGGTGAATCATAGTTGGTGGCGGCAGGAGAATTAAGAAAGGTGACACATTCAAATGAACAAGGGAAAGGGCGGGGTGGGGACAAAACAACCCAATGAAATGTTCCTTGACCCCAGTGTTTCGGCAGAAGCCTGATGTCCTGCGCTCGAGTCCTCGATGTGTGTGTTTCAGGTCCACCAAGACATCCAGAGTGTCACAGCCTGTCTTCACTGTGCAAAAGTCCAAGTCACTAATTTAGTGCAAAGGCAGTTCTGTTTTGTTTCTTAAAAACAAAAACAAAAAATTAATTCCACTGCCCAGTTCCTTTTCTCCAAAAAGAGGAGAGAGAGAAACCCAGCCCCAAGGTGTCTGCAGAGTCCATCGGGTGGTGGTCTGTCCTCGGGCTAAATGTCATGTAAACACACAGGTAGCAGCACCACTGCCCAGAGGGGTCTGCCCCGCTGAGCCTGGGGGGGGGAGCGGGCTCGAGGGTGAGGCTGGCGGCTGGCAGTGGAGGATGTCCCCTTCAGCAGCTGCTTCCTCCGCGTGACTGGGGGGGTCCTGGGTTTACTTTCTGCTGCAGAGCCTCGGGGAATACACCGAGTGGCGGCCATCAGTGGCTCACACGGAGGCGATGACAATCATGAGGTGGGGAGAAATGTTGGAGACGCTGGCAAGGAGGTCGGGGGCCAGACGGGACAGGTGGCTCTCCGAGAACTCGCAGGGCGGGAAGATCTGCAGCACATAGGCGGGCTGGGGGGGGGGGGGGAACGAGAGAGAAGAGTGGGATCCCCCGTCTCCACATCAGCACCCCCACTACCATTCTTGAACATTTCCAACTGGGGGCCCAATACACCGAGCTAGGGTGAATCTGTTTCCCCGTCAGCTAATGCCCCCAGGAGGAACCGAGGTGTCATGGCAGCAAACTAGCCACCTGAACGACCCTCCGGGGTAGCCTCCGCAGCTCCGGTCTCAGCGGTCCCACCCTGGGTTAACTCCAGGATGGGCCGCGGGGGGCCCCACCTCTACACTCTGCTCGAGTCCTCTATCCAAAACGCCCTTCTGCCCACCTCGGAGAAACCTCTGGACTCCTCTGAGTCCGCACTGGCAGCCCGTGCCACCCGATTAGACGGCTGACCAGCCTGACTACGTGCGGACAGCAGGCTGACCTGATTGGAGCCAGGGTTGGGAACGTTGATGATCCCTGCCGCCTGCTTGGCCTGCAGATAGGTGATGAAGGCCGCCTTGAGGGACTCGGTCTGGCTCACGACATCCTCCTGGTCACGGCCGCAGGGCAGAGCCAGCAGCAGACAGTAATCCGTCTCCACCTGTGGCGGCAACAGCAGCTGTCGGTCATCCGGGGCCTCCCCTCGAGACAGCGGCCCCGTGCGGAGGCCTGTCCGACTAGGGGTTCAGCTGCGTAGTCCACAATAGTTCCCCCTCCCCGGACCTTTAAGTCCACCCTATTTGTTGACTAAAAAAAACCAGTTTCTGAGCCTAGAGGCATTTTACACCCCCTGCTGTTGACAGAACGTGCGGGGCAAGCCACGTCCTCCCTCATGGGCAGGGCAGTCGCTCGCCTGGGCCCCGAAGCTCACCGTCATCCTTCGGGCAACCCCTTCCAGCTGTGAGGCCTCTAGCCGCATCCTCTGGGCGATCCTCAGCGGGGGGCCTCCTTCAGAGAGGGGCAGAGACCGATGGGCCAGGACATTGTTGCCAGAGACAAAGTGGAGCTGCACGGCAGCTGTGTCGTTCTTGAGGGCCAGCAGGCCCTGCCACACGATGGGGTACTTCTGCTCTCGGGGAGACAAACAGGAAGTAAGCTCCTGGCTGCAGAGCAGAGCCATGCTAGACATGGCCCCAGACAACAGCTTACTGGTCTAAGTGGGGACCTTAGGACCTTCAACACAGCGCAAAGCTTGGAGGGGAGCCGGGGAGGACCCCTGCCCAGGCTTACCTTCAGAAGCTGGACCATATCCACAGGCCTCTGGGAAGTCAAGTGTGGAGAAGAATCTGGTTTGGGAGCGGGCTGGGCTTCGGTGTGCGTCAGAGCCAGTCCTGGAGGGGTGCTGGGGCTTGAGGTTGTGGGGACAAACAATGGCTGCTTTGGGGCAGCCTGAGCAGGGAGAGGGGCAGGGAGGTCAGGCTTCATGGAGACGGACACGGGGGAGGGGTAGGAGGTCTGGCCGGTTTCTGCCTGCGCCCTCTGAACCTGGGCATGAGGCTCAGCTGGCCTGGCTGCAGGTACGGTTGGGAGGCGAGGCTGTTCTACTCCTGTCTGGGTTCCCTTTGCCTCCTGGGAGACCTGAGGCATCTTGCTGCTTGGTGGCTGGCCTGGCTGGGAGGGCTGCGTGGGCTGCGCAGGCTGTGCGGACTGCACGGGTTGGGCAGGCTGTGTAGACTGTGCAGGCTGAGTGGGCTGCAAGGGCTCACCTTCAGGAGCTGGGCCCTGGAGTTCGGCAGGGGAGAGAGGAACGGAGTGGAGAGCGTGTTACACACGGCACCCTGCCCACCGCCCCCCACCCCCACCCCACTCCCCAGCCATGGGCTCCTGGGCAGGGTCAGCTGCAGGCACCCCCTGGAAGTCAGGCCCACAGCAGTCATCCTCTTGGGCACTCAGGATTGAGGGTTCTGGGGAGAGGTCACCCACTCTCCCCCACAGCCCTGCAAGGAGGCACCCCCCGCGCCTGCCCCATCAGATCCCCAGAGAGCCCCTTCCCGGGTCTTGGCCCTCTGCACGGTGATCGAATTCCCTCACCTTGCAATTTTGGGAGCGCCTCTTTAAACTCACGGAAAGGGCAACACGCGTCCAGGCCGGCGCCGGTACCTCAACCAGCGCAGGGAGGAACGCCGCAGTGCGGCACTCACCTGAGCAGCAGCCTTGGTCCGAGGAGGTAGACCGATGGAGGCGGCAGCCGGAAACTGGGTGTGCGCGAGCTGAGCGGGGCCGTGGTAGGTGCGGATGTCTCCGTATCTGTACTCCTGGAAGAGCTCCCCGCTGGAGTGCACGATCTGCACGCCATGCGTCACCACCACAGGTGGGGTCAGAGGCAGCCCCTGCAGCTGGTTGCTGGGGGTGACCGTGAGGATGCGGGCCTCCCCGTGGGACGCAGGGGCCGGCGCCGCTTTGGCTTCCGCCGCCTTGGCCGCGTCTTTCCCAGGCTGCTGCGGGACCTTGCTGGCCGGCGGCCCCTTCACCACCCCATCTGCTGCCCGGGGCTGCTCGCTGACCGCCGTCACGTGTGGATGCACCATGATCCTCACGTCCCGGGGCACGGTGTACGGGTGCAGCCGGTACTCGGACTGCATGACCAGCACTTCTGACTGCACGGGGGCCGCAGCCCGAGCAACAGGGAGGTGATAATGCACTTCTTCCTCCGGAGGGTGCTGGGGGGCCAGGGCCGGCACACCAGCTGCGGCCGGCTGGGGTGTGCCCGCACGCTGTGGGGCCCTGACCTCTATCTGCTGGGGCTGCAGAGGGGCCCGCGGAGAGTGAAGGGTCTCCGGCCGGATGCTGTAGGTGATGCTGGGCAGCGTGGGCGTGTTCATTCTCACCTCGCCCTGGGACAAGTGGCTAAGGGACACAGTCTGGGTGATGCTGTGGGGCGGCATGATGACAGACTGCTCCGGGTGTATGCTGGAGATGAACTGAGGCACAGGGATGCCTGCTGCCAGCATGACCGTGGCGTTAGTGGAGAGAGCGGTGGACGTGGTGCTGTTGGGGTGGCACGCTCTCGGGAACGGGGACGGAGTGGGCCCACTGGGTCGAGGAGAATGTGCATCTGGCTTTGTGGCTGCCAAATGGGAGACCGTTCGATCTGTCGGGGTGCTGGGCCCTGAGGCGACGTGGTTCACTTCTGCAGGCAGTTTGCTGGGCAGAGCAGGAGGGTGGTGGGGATTGAGAGCAGACCCCAGATTCGCTGGCTGGAGGACCTTGGTCTCTATTTTGAGGGTGACGGGGTCAGCAAGCTTTTTATTAGTGGTGACGATGCTTGGGGTGAGGACCAGCTGGTTGTGAACCAGCACTGGGGGCGTGTTTATGCCCTGGGTGAGAACCTTCACCGTGCCACCCTGGGTGACAGGTGCGGACACGGAGAGGTGGATGGGCTCGGGCTTCTCCAAGGACGGACGGTCAGCCTTCACGGATGAAATCACGGGAGATGCGTTATACGTCTGGGCAGTCAGTACCAGAGTCGAATGAGTGGCCACGTTGGCAAAGCCCGAAGGAGCCTGGGGGCCCTTGGGCGAAGGCTGTGACGGGGCCACAGAATCAGGCTTGACCTGGGACTTGGACACCGACTGTTGGAATTCGATGTCCATGGCACTGGCCGGGGGGATCTGGCTGATCTTGGCGCTGATCCGCTGTGGGCCTTCCGTCTTCTGCCCCGAGTAGCTCAGGAGCACGACCCCTTCAGACGTGTTCACACGCAGCCCGGCGCCAGAGCCCGTGTCTGCCGGGCGATCGTCGATCACAGACATAGACCCTGGGTGGAACCGACTGTTCTCGTTGGTGCTGGGTCTGGGCTTGCACTTTGCCGATGGTGTCATCACCGCACCTGCCACCGTCACCGCGCCCGTGCTGGTGGCGGTCGCGCTGCCAGATGCGGCAGTCACTGCACCCGCTGTGACGGTCACTGCGCCCGCATTCATGGCACCCGCGGTGGCGTTCACCGTGCCCACGGCGGCGTTCACCGTGCCCGTGGCGGCGTTCACCGGAGCGGTGAGCACATTCACTGGCCCCGTGAGAACATTCACTGGCCCCTTGAGGACGTTCACAGGGCCGGCAGGAGTGTTCACCAGGCCTTTCAGAGTGGCCACTGAGCCCTTCACGGGGCCCTTCAGGGCGTTCACGGGGCCGGTCAGGGCGTTCACGGGGACCAAGGAGACGTTCACCAGGCCCGTCAGAGCACTCACCAGGCCTGTCAGGGTTTGAGGAGCTGGTTTTGCCAGAGTTATCTTTTGCGAGTTCTCCAAATCGATGCTCACGGGCATCCGGCTAATCACAGAAGTAATTTTGGGAGCAATGACTGGAGCCACCTTTTCCTTTTCCGCGGCTACTGGAACCTCTGGGGCCTGTGTGTCAGAGGTGTTGGGTGCTGGAGCTGCTGGTTTCTCTTCTAAAGGTGGCTTTTTGGGCTCAACTGGAGGCAGGGGCGGTGCCTCATGCAGGCAAGGGGCAGCGCTCACAGGCTCCGCGATGGCGGCCGTGACACTGGTGGAAGTGATGCCAGTGGCGGAGACGTATTTGGGGTCCATGAGGATCTTCCTCAGTGTACTGGAGCTGGTGTCAATGTCGGAAGCTTTCGTGTCTGGGGGAAGAGCTGGAGATGGGGTGGACTGAGCCCGAGGCTCCTCCTGCCTGGTGATCCACTCGGTGACCTTGGTAGGGGGGCTCTGGTGTGGGGCCCCCCCAGAGGCAACAGGGGGTGGGAGCTTTGCTGCAGTTACCGAAGGGATTGTGGGCGTGGGGGTGCTTGAGTCACTGGGCGGGGTCACGGGGTCACTTTCAATGATGGAATGCACCTTGAATCTGGCTTGAGGTTCATCCTCCACTGGTGCTGGCTGGGAGGGAGGGGGAAGGTCTGGGAGCGCAGACACTCTCGTGGGAGTCTTCTCTTCAACGCTGCTTTCTTGGGGCAGATTCTCAACGGATGGAGTCTTGCTTGGGTCCAAAGCACAGGACTCAGACGGAGTGGACTGCGGCTTTTCTCTCTGCTGCTCTTCCTGTGGAGTTTCTGGGGGTGGCACTGCCGTCCCCTCATCTGTAGCAGGACTCTTGCATTGAACTTGGTCAGGTTCAGGGATGTGGGTCTCTGCAGTGCCCCCCGGTTTCTTATTTGTATTCCGTTTACGACGTGACCGACTTGACTTCTGGCGGCCTTTCTCTTTCCGAGCAAGAGTGACTTCTGCTTCTTTTGACCCTTTGGCTTCTGGCACTGGCTGGGAGGTTCCGCTGCTGTTCCCCCCAGCTTCCTTGGTATCCGCTGGGTCTGCTGAGGGGTCAGGGGCACTGGCTGGTGGCCCAGAAGATTCTGTAGCAGCTTCGGTCTCCAAGATGCCAGACACGGCCTCATTGGTCTCAGGCTCCATGCCCTCCCCAGGGGGCTGCGGAGCCTGAGAGCGGGCCTGTGGATCTGTCTGGGATTCGGCGGGGTAAGGTGCTGCTGCTGGGAAATTTTCTGCCTCCCCAGAAATGTCGTTGATGATGGAGCCAATGGCTGCAGCCAGTTCTGTTTCACTTGCTTGGTGTGCCGGCTTGTCTCCGTCCTCGGTGGAGAGGCCGTCTGGTGCATCTGTGGCCGCCGCCTTGAAGGCTGCGGAGGAGGCTTCAGTGAGCTTTGCGATGTTCTCCACAGCCTGCTCCAGCTCCATCTGCTTGGCTAACTGATTGGCTTCTGGGGACGGCTCAGAGGCAGACACATCTTCCTTCTCCTCCACTTCCTTGTCCGGAGGGGCTGGATCACTGTTCAACTGGGATGATAAACTCCCTTCCTTCTGGGGACTCTCGCTCTTCTCGGCGGGGCCGGCCACCACCTCCACTTCCTTCTCCACCGCCAGGCCCCCGGCGCCCGTCCCCACACTCGGACTGACACTGGTATCCACATTTTTCAGATTTGCAGATTTGTCCACTGTTGACCTAGAGTTTCGAGATCTTCCTCTCTTTGACTTGGAGTTTTTTTCAGGGGCTGTTTTCTTCTCCACCACTTCGACTGCAGGGTCTTCTGGTGCATTTTTGTCTGTGCTCATTTCTTTTTTGTCACGTTTTTGTTCATTTCCTGCTTCTTCTTTATCAGCCTTGGATTTTGTGTTATTTTCTTTCACGCTTCCTTGCGGACTCACCTCAGCGGCTGCTTCCAGACGTTCAGCATCTACTTTTGGCTCATTTTTCCCCCTTTTCCCTTGTGGGCCACCAGCAGCTCCTGATTTTTGGGCTCGTGGGGACCTCCATCCCTCGGCTGGTTTGAGTGTCTCAACTGGTTCTTTCACCTCGGTCTCCTCATCTTCTTCAGCCCGACGGCGGGTTTTCGGAGGCCTCCCCCTCCTTGGGGTCGTGGGGACCGCCGCGGCCTCCTGCAGCTCTCGCTCCAGTCTCTTCCTGGTCACTCGTGGCTGCTCCACAGGCTCCTTGACGGGAGAGCGGCTCTCGTGGTCACCCATGGTTGCATAGACACTCCTCACATTCCGGCGCCTTGTTCGGCTGAGGGGCAGACTTGGTTCAGGGAGTTCTGGGTCTGCGGCTGAGTTTTTAGAGGCGGTCCTTGTAATCTTCTCTGCCTCCATCTTCAACTCTAAAAGCTTCTGTGCTTCTCCCCGAGGAGAACTGGACCGCTTGAGCTTCTCCCGGTCTATGCGCTCGCTCTTCCTGGTGACAGGCTTCTCCACGGTACTTGCTGTGGCGGCCTGATTGGGGGTCTTGGAACGCTTGCTTTTGTTTGGCTTTTTCTCTTTCGTAGCAACTGGAGGATCAACCTCAGTGTCTTCAGAAGCTTGAGGCTGGACCTCAGGGACAACTTCAGCTTTCTGATTTGCACTAGGCTCAACATTAGCAGCTGAGTTTGGCTTTTCCACTTTTGGCTCATCAGCCTCCTCAGGCTTCTGAGTTGGTTTTGAAAGTGGTTGGGTACCACCAGGTTCTGGATCTGTGGTGACCTCTACCTGGGAAAATGAGGCCCCGGGAGTTGGAGGCTTGGTGTCCAGATAAGGCAGCTGGTCAGCTGATGAGTCCTCTTCCACAACCAACGGAGCCCCAGCAGCATCTTTACTGGGGTCCACTCCTGAGGGCAGGTCGGCCTGTTGGGCTTGCTGCACAGCAGTAGCAGCCTGCTCAGACACAGGCTTCGCTTCTTCGGAGGCGGAGGCGGAGGCGGAGGCGGAGGCGGAGGCAGAGGCAGAGGCAGAGGCCGGCTCCCTGGGCTTCTCTTCTGTCACCAGGGGCACCTCCCCGGCCCTGTCGCTGGCTGTCTTCTCCAGTGCCGACGACGCGGACTCTGGAGCTACAGCTGTGACAGCAGGAGGCCCAATCGGAGGGGGAGTCTTCAGTTCTGACTCTTTACTCTCAGAAGCAGATTCTGGGGTCTCAGGAGGATCCTCGGTATCTTCCTGTTTCTCAGCCTCTTTGGGTTTTTGGTCTTTTTCCTTTTCTTTCTGTTGCATTCGTGTGAGTTCCATAAATCTGCTATGAAAAAGAACTACTGGCTCTTGAATCAAATCGGCTGTGCTGTTTGCTCCATCAGATGTCTGCCGCCCATACAACCTACCAGAAATGAAGTCTGGTTCTTCATCTTTTCTCTCTAGATGCTGCAATCGCTTGGAATCTTGTTCAAAGATTGAACTGTGTAAAAAACGAGATGCAAACAACTCTTGTCTTTCCTGTTCTTCTTCTTTATGATCATCTTTTTTATCATCCATTTTTCCTTCTGAATCAGTCCGAATTTTCTTCTTTTTCATGTACCAGGATGGAATAGGTCTTGGAGCAGAGTCAACCTTTTCTTTATCTTTGTTGTTTCGAAAATTAGCAAAACGGGAGTCCCAGTCAAGGAAAGACCAATTTTCTTCTCGAGATGAAGAGAGTGATTTAGCTCTTTCAAGCAAAGCCTTGGTGTCTGGTGTGATTGTCTTATCCAATGCAAAAGAATAAAATTTGTTCCTTTCTAAAGAACTGGAGAGTCTTTCATCTCGCTCACGTAGTTTGTCTTCTCTGTCCCTCAATAAAAAAGACAGCCGAGAACTCTCATATAAAGCAGAGGCTCTGGGTGAGTGGGACTTGTGTTCACCATCTTCATCAGAATCAGAAGGCACCTCACCAGGTTCCAAGTCACGTACAGACCTCTTTCGAAGGCTCTCTCTCTTAATTATGCTGTTTGGGAAACTCACGTCAAATCTGCTGGCATCTTGTTTCATTTGAGAATCCCACCGATTTAGTTCATCTTCAGAATTCAAGACAGAGAGCTTTATTTTGGCCATGTCTGCCATCTGTTCTCTCCTGCTAGAATCATAAGGATTAAACTTTAAGGACTCTTCTCTGACTGTTACGTTAGAATAGGGGAGACCTTTTTCATCTGCCTTAGGAGACCCTTTTACTGACAAGAGCCTAGGGGAGCCCACAGGGTCGTCTTCCTCATGGAAGGAACCATGCCGGATACTGGGAGAGCCACCAGTCCTTTCGGAGTCTTCACTGATTTGGCGTGAACTTCTGTAATTCCTCTCTCTCTTGGTGCAGGTATCAAAATCAATGTGGTCCATCCTTTTCTTTTTGCTGGGAGGAGAGTCATCAGTGACATCTTGGGGGGGTTTGCCTACCTCGTGAACCAGACTCCGTCTTTCATATTCATCTACATCTTTTTTAGGACTGCCAAACTTCTCAGACTTGGCAATTTCCATCTCCATCTGCTGTTTTCTACGGCTCTGCTCCATTTGTTTTCGGTAACTCTGCGTGTGATCAATATCAATGCCAATTTTTTCTTCAGTATTTACTGAATGCGGTTTCTCTTGGCTTGATTTACATTCAAGTGTCTCATCACGAAGACTGCAATAGTTTTTCCTAATATCTTCTCTCTCTGGTCCTTGATCATCTAATAACTGCAGCTGTTTGAGCTGTGGTTTTGAGGGAATGGGTTTTTTTGACTGGGTTTCTTGATTTTCCACAGATTCGCATACTAGTTCTCCCAGCCTCGCTTGCAGGTCTGAGTTGGGCCTTGAGCCAGTCCCAACAGAAACACTGGCAAGCTCCTGACAGTCTTTGGGGCTGGGAACAGCATTAAGTCTGTCTAGTTTGATTTTTTTAGATTCTCGTTTAAGGGTTTCTTTCCTCACAGGCTTTCTTTCTGACTCTCCTTCCCTCAGAAGAACGACATCTCTAGACGATAGGTCAGGCTGCTTTTTTAAAAGGACCCGAGCGTCCTCCAACTCTGGACTACTTTTCTTGACTTCTGATTTTTGCCTTTCTGCTTTCAGATTGGAATCTGCAAAACGCCTCTTCCTCGCTTCCAGTTTCTCCAAATCTACAGCGCTGACCCCGTCAGCAGTCTGCTCTGGTTTTAGGTGCTTCCTGGGCTTAAGCCTACCTTCCTTATCTACCACTTCGATGTGGCTAGACAGTCCCTTTTCCTTTGGCACTTTCATTCTAACAGATTCCAGTTTAGACAAGTCAGACTTCGTAGGCTCCGTTTGACAGACCTGAAGTTTCTGATCTAGGGCAGAAGACTTGGCATTGTCATTATCAAGCCTGGCTTTCAGCTTTTCCAAAGAAGTGTGGTCAATAACTTTCCCCTCTTTCTCTTTCACTCGAGTCAAAACCACACAGGGCATGAGCTCCAGGCGGTTTTTTGCTACTCCTTCTTTGTCAGCTTTCTCTCTGCTCAATTTATTAGAACTCCTTGATTTTTCAGGGCTCTGTTCTTTCTCATTTTCTTGGTCTGTCTCTGAAGACTGAGAACTAGGGGAATGAACTTTTCCTTTTCGTTTCTGCTTTTCAGTTTTGTCCTTTTCCACTTTTTCCTTCCTTATTAAGCGTCTCTCTCTTTCCACTCTCTCAGGATCGAAAGTCCTTTCTTTATCTGTCTTTTCATTTTTAGCATAGCGTTCCAGACGAGATTTGTCAAGTTTATCGTATCTTGGAGGGGAAAGTGAGCTACAGCTCCCACTCCGGTCTGAGGATCGGCTGTAAATCCTCCTTTCAGAATCGCTTGGCAACCGCTCCGACTGTGAGGGGGACGCTCCAGGACTCTGCGGGCGTCGCGCGTGCGCCGGACTCTGACTGCGCTCAACCGGCCTCCTCTCGTGGTCTCTGTCCCGCTCAGCCTCAAACCTTTCACGCTCTCTCTCTCGTTCCCTTTGCCTGTAACTGTACTCCCGGATATCCTGTTCGTAAGGGTCATTTCTGTAATCCCTGTATTCTCGAGGATCGTCATAGTATCGTGATTCATAGTAGTCTCCTTGGTAGGTTTCCCATTCTGAATAAAATTCCCTCCCTCGGGCTGGATAGTCCCGTCTGGAATCCTCAGGATATGTGCCCGGAGTACGAACATTCTCGTAGTATGTACGATCTTGGCTATAGTCGTAAGACCCTCTCCGTTCCTCTCTACCAAATATGAAAAAGAATGTATTAGTTCTTTTGTTTTCTTGTCACTGACACATTAAATCACACACGAGATGACAAAGTCCTGCTTCTAAAAATCTTGGGCGCCTGAGTGGCTCAGTCAGTTACGTGTCTGCCTTTGGCTCAGGTCACAATCCTGGGGTCCTGGGATCGAGCCTCACGTGGGGCTCCCTGCTCAGTGGGGAGTCTGCTTCTCCCTCTCCCTCTCCCTCTGCCACTACCCCCTCCGCTGCTCATTCTCACTCTCTCTCAAATAAATAAAGTCTTAAAAAAAAATTTGCCATTGTTTACTCATTAGTTAGACATGGACCATCCAGTACCATCCGTAGCCACAACCCACACATGGCTACTGAGAACTTGAAATTTGAGATGTGAATACAGAATACACACCGGACTTGGTAGATTTAGTTTTATTAAAAAAAAAAAAGAAAAGAAAAAGAAATTCTTCAGTAACTTATTTAAATTTGGTATATGTTGAAATAATATTTTAGACACACTGAGTTAAATAAAATTAATTTTACCTTTTCATTTTTTACTGTGTCTACTAGGAAATTTAAAACCACAAATTTAGGTTGCATTACGTTTCTACTGGACAGCACTTCAGCCTTTTTTATTCTTTTGGTTGAGGTGTCACGACTTATAATAAGCACTAGTATTCAACAGTACCACATCCCCACATTTCTAAGTCTTTCATAATTACTTTTCTGTCAAAAGATATTCTTATCACAACTTGGGAAACAAATGCATTATAGGGAAAAATAGAGAATAATTTAACTGAAATCCTCTCACCTACGTGACCCACATGATACTGATAATACCTCTCAGTTCACAATTTAAAAAAAAAACACACTGGGGGGCCAGTGTCCCTCGGCTATCTCCTCAATTGTAAAGTGGTGGTAACCTTTCCTCATAAGGCTCTTAAGAAGATTAAATAAGACAAGAGTTTTAAGAATTTTCCTGACATAATGTGAGGCACATACCTGGCCTTCAGTAATGTTACTTTTCCCCAAGCCACCAACTGAACACAAGCTTTGTAAGAGGGTTTCTCAATTATAAAGGAATTCACTGTGGTTTTCTCTTATAGTGACCTATCCAGGGGCATTCAAGATAGGATTAAATGTACACACAAGAACACGTATGATGGATAAAATGAAATTCACCCGTAACAGAGACCAAGTCTTTCACTTTTGTTCATTCTCCATTTCTGTTCCCTCAAGGTCATACATTCTACACAGTATTGCCATTAGTGGCTTACTGAAACACAAAAAATTTAGAACTTAAGCCCCTAAAAGGCATGAGTTTTTTTTCGGGTCTTCTTGTAACAGTGTTTGGCTCATAGGAGGCACTCAAGTATCTGTTGAAAGAATGAACCTTAGAAAAATATGTCAAAGCTACTACTGGGTGATGTTCTATCCCACCCTCCACAGCAAATGAAGCATCTAAGACTGAACATTCAAACACTGGAAGCATCAATAAAACATTATTATATGTATTTATACAGAATTTCTCAGTCCAAAGAGAATATTTTATGGTATATCTGTATTATTTTATTTGGATTCAAGATGATCTTTCTAAAGTTCCACAGGTATCAGATTCTTTGCCTAAATAATGACCAGCTACCTTAAAATAAATGTTACTAAGCATGGAACTCAGCTAATATAATTCATTGCCAACATAAATACGAACTCCAAGGAAGCATCTTTTCATACATTAAGGTAAACATACTGTATGCTTTCTAATATAAAGTGATTAAGACACCTAGAATGGTCACTGGCTCACCGCCCACATTAACAGTGGGCTTGGGACGCCTGGGTGGCTCAGCTGGTTAAGCATCTGCCTTCAGCTCAGGTCATGATCCTGGAGTCCCAGGATCGAGCCCTGCATAGGGCTCCCTGCTCAACGGGGAATCTGCTGCTCCCTCTGACCCTACCCCCTTATGCTTTCTCTCTTTCTCTCTCTCAAATAAAACAAAACAAAAAAACACAGTAGGCTTAAAATCATACTATAAAAACAGAAGTATGTTTAGATTAATCAAACTAAAACTATATCCAAAAATATGAAGTTACATAAGTCAAAGGCATATGTGGTAAACATTAGTGCTGGAGCACTATTCAGTTTAATAAATACTGATTTTGCACATATTTTGCTGGGCCCCCTGACCACCAAAAGAAATGAGTGTTCCCGCCCTCAAAGAATGCAAGTCAAGCAGGAGACAGCACAGCTGCACACTTGTACCTTGGACAGAAGGGTCTCCAAAGAACCTGGAAAAGCCAGGTGTTGAGATAACTCTGTTCACATGACTGCACAATATCCCAACTCCCCTAAGTAGGTGGGAAATTCACCTAAAGTGTAACAGGATCTTGTAAATTCATCTTGAGAATCATTTTGGTAAAGTGTATAAAGCTCAGTCCACTAGCAGATAGGGGCACTGGGCTTATCTCCAGCCCATGGTCTTAGCCTGTGACCTTATCAGCAAAGTCATCTGGTCTTCAGTTCCTACCAAAAGTAACATAGGAAAAGAGTCACGGCCCTATCTCTCTGACACAGTATTTGAGGGAATAAATGAAATGCTACTTTTAAACTGCAGTACCCTATGCAAATCGGTCACTGCATTCCTAAGCTAAGCTATCATTAGAGGTAAAGCATTTTTTTCATTCATGCATTAACTATCCAGTGGGATGACTTCCTTCCACTCTATGGAAAGGGCAAAGAACCTCAAGTTCTACTGCAAGGAATTATTCCATAAGCACTGCGATCTTAGTGGCAAAGGGGGCAAAACTGAGTCACAGTTAAGTCCTATATCCTCCTACTTCCTACATTAGGAGATAAACTCCATTCAACAGGGATAAATAACCATGGGTAAGAACCAAAGAACAAAGCCAGAGCCAGATCATTAGTAAAATGAGTGAATTTAAGCGTTAACATACAAAAATGAACACCCGCACAGCATTACCCAACCCTTGGACAAGACACTATTCTCTAAAAAATATTTAATGTATGCCCAGAGGATTTTAAAGGATGTTTTATGCCTTAGGTGCCACTAGACCACCAACACACTTTCCACTAGCTTATGGGGAAGGATTCCTATAAGCACTTAAAACGTTAACAATGCCTTTAAACTGCTACTTGGGGAGCCAGGATGGAAAATGTTTTTCTCTCTCCACAGACCCACATATTCTCCGACATATGCATACGCATCCTCTCTCACACACACATACACAAACTGACACAGGAAAGCCTTGTATCAAAACTGACTTTCTGGCTAAAGGACTGTGGATTCATCTACTGGCGAAAAACTATCAAATCCTTAGAAGTTCAAGCTTTTGGGAATTTGGCTGTAGGATACATTTTTCATTTTAAAAACCTCCCCCCGGGGCGCCTGGGTGGCTTAGTTGGTTAAGTGACTGCCTTTTGCTCAGGTTATGATCCCGGGGTCTTGGGATTGAGTCCCACGTGGGGCTCCCTGCTCAGCGGGGAGCCTGCTTTTCTCTCTGCCTGCCACTCCCCCTGCTTGTATGCTCTCGCTCTCTGTCAAATAAATAAATAAAATCTTTAAAAAAACAAAACAAAACAAAACAATCCTCCTCAGGGGTGCCTGGGTGGCTCAGTCGATTGGGCGTCTGCCTTCAGCTTGGGTCATGGTCCCAGGGTCCTGGGATCGAGCCCCACATCAGGCTCCTTGCTAGGCGGGGAGCCTGCTTCTCCCTCTCCTCCCTGCCTGTGCTCTATCTCTCTCTCTCTCGCTCTCAAGTGAATAAATAAAATCTAAAAAAAAAAAAAAAAAAATTAAAAACCTCTCCAGGATATGTGTTGTGGTGAGCACTGTGTATTGTTAACACTGATGAATCACAGACCTGTACCCCTGAAACAAATAATACATTGTACGTTAATAATAATAAAAAAGAAATCATTAATAATCTAACCACCCTGAAATAGATAAAAATGCTATATATAAATTTATGTATGTGTATATACATATATGTATTCTGTGTGTACGTGTATACGTATCTTTCCAGTCTTTTTTCTTTGCAAAAAGTACTTTTGTTCTGTAAAATTGGGTCATACTGTACCCTACTGCTTTATAATCCACTTTAAAAACTTTCATTAAATCATTATTGCATTATTAAATATTTTTATTTATTTTTTTAAAGATTTTATTTGTTTGACAGAGAGACAGCGAGAGAGGGAACACAAGCAGGGGGAGCGGGAGAGGGAGAGGCAGGCTTCCCGCTGAGCAGGGAGCCCGATGCGGAGCTCGATCCCAGGACCCTGGGATCAGGACCTGAGCCGAAGGCAGATGCCTAACGGCTGAGCCACCCGGGCGCCCCTGCATTATTAAATATTTTTAAAGAAAAAGAATGCAAGGGGGCGCCCAGGTGGCTCAGCCGTTAGGCATCTGCCTTCGGCTCAGGTCCTGATCCCAGGGTCCTGGGATCGAGCTCCGCATCGGGCTCCCTGCTCAGCGGGAAGCCTGCCTCTCCCTCTCCCTCTGCCTGCCGCTCCCCCTGCTTGTGTGTTCTCTCTCTTTCTGTCAAATAAATAAATTAAAAAAAGAAAAAGAATGCAAGGATGGTTCAACTACAAAATTCAATCAACATTATACACCATATTAATAGAATGAAGGAAAAAACACATGATCATTTCAAATGGAAAAAAAAAATCCAGCACCCTTTCATGATAAAACAAACAAAACAAAAAAACCAAACACCTTATCAAAGTAGGAATAAAAGGAAACTTTCTGAACATAGTAAGTGTATGCGAGGGAACCTGGGCGGCTCAGTCAGTTAAGCGTCTGCCTTCAGCGCAGGTCCTGATCCCAAGCTCCTGGGATGGAGTCCCGCATTGGGCTGGCTCTCTGCTCCATGGGCAGCCTGCTTCTCCCTCTCCCTCTGCCCGCCACTCCCTCTGCTTTTGCTCTCTCTCTCTGTAAAATCTTAAAATAAAAATAACAACAAAAAAACCACCAACCCCTCCCCAGGGCCACCTGGCTGGCTCAGTTGGTAGAACATGTGACTCCTGGTCTGGGGGTTATAAATTCACGCCCACGTTTGGGTGTAGAGATTAGTTAAAAATAAAATCTTTAAAAATAAATAAAAATTTAAGAAAACTTTCCCAGCATTCAATGACTGCCATACAATATTCCACAAGGAAATGACTCAAAAAAATATATATATATACCTTCTATGACTTAAACAAAAAGTGGCAAGAACAGGCAGTAAAAAGGGAATATATTCCACAGGTTTTGGGGCAACAAAATCAGTATCTGACTCATATTTGTTTGTAGACCCCCCTTTTATACCTAAACCAGAGTGTCTAAAGACATTTTTCACACACAGCCTTTTACCACATGTGTACAGAGGTGGAGATCCAGTGGTGACATTCCAGGAGACTTAATCACAAAGGTGTGTCTGGACAAACAGCTTGACCATGTGGATGATAGTTTCCATTTTCAAATGTGATCGGCTATTGAAGCACTTGATGACACTATGTTAGGGTGTTTTAATATATTCAGTCTAAAAAGGAGTCAATCATCAGTTTGGGGACAGTTCTAAGCTAACAGAGATAGCCTGGTCCAAACTATGAGACTTAAAATGATCCAGGACTGCAATGTCTCCTATAAGCAGCAGGAAAAAAAATCAAATACTATATAACCATGACCAAAAAAATTAACAGGAGTAAATAAGGTTTCCTTTTATACTGCTGAAGTTACCAATTTATATATGCTTTGGCTTACTGATTCACAAATTTAGAAGATTCAAATTTAAAACAAAGAAAGCTCTTGATAATCTTTTTCAATTTAAAAAAAAATTCTTTTTTCTTAAAGTAGGCTCCAAACTCACGACCCTGACTGAGATCAAGACCTGAGTAAAGATCAAAAGCCAGACACTCAAGGACTGACCACCCAGGGGCCCCTCAATTTTTTTTTTTTAACTAACGGTATGAGCACATGCACAGTAATAATCTGGATGTTGTCATTACTAAATATACAGGACACTTAGTTTACAGTGCTCTTCAACATGTTATCATATTTAATTTAAAACTGTTAAGCAGGATGATTTGTACATAAAGTTATAATCTAGCAAGACGGTAACTCTTTCAAATTCTAGGAGCATTCAGTGAGAAATGTATTTAGCTTAACCTAAATCCCACGAGCCACATGAAAACAGAATTCATAAAAAGAAACCTGTGTTTCTGTGTGAGGGGATAAAAGGAAAGGAGTTTTTTTTGGGATAAGTGTAGAAATAAGGGGTGAAAAATAAAATGTAATCCCATCTAAGTTTGATGTATTTGGTATTTTAAAATCCAAGCTATGCTGATAGGTTTAAAATACATACCTTCTTGCTTGGGAAAAAAAAAAAAATACATACCTTCTTTCTGCTAACATTTCATAAAAGTCTCTAATATCTTGACCAGATTTTTCCATACAGTGATAAAATGCCAGCTGACTTTCCCGATTTGCAAAGTCCACCTTAAAAAGAAAGAACAGCAGGTGTTTGATTCAAGTTTCAGGTTTTCAAGATGGAAAGCATTATTGAATTTGAAATCCTTCCCAACATAGCCCTCTGGATAAACTTCAAGTAAGAGCAATCTGTCTCAACTAAGTGAAATAGTCCTAACTGAAACTGTATTTTGTTAACATGAAATCTCTCTCAAATTCAATAGAAATCTCGATATAGAACTATAATTTAAGGTCCCAGAACCCAATACTGAAGGAGTGGAAAAGGCAAAATGGAAAACTGAAATAATACCTATCAAGATTCTAGGTTGCCAAATAATCAGATCAACTAAACCCAGAGTCTGTGTTAGATGTAAATTTGCTGGAACCACAAGTTAGAACATAAAATAAAATAAAATATCGAAGAACATTTAAACTTCACTCACAGCTGGACCTCAGAGTCATTTAAGCCTATGATACCCATCATCTTTCAATATCTTATTTCAAAAAAGAATCGTTTCAATTTAACCATGATAGGTATTAAGTGCATAAATTCCTTCAAATTATCATGAACAAAAGAAGAGGAAGAGAGGATCATTCAGGAAGCTGGAATGAGTGATACTTTGAGCTCCTGGGTGTGCAGATACCCACACGTGAATGTGGGCCAGCCTGCACCAAGAGCATACATGTAAGCATCAGGTACCTGGGGTGTATAGAAGCACATTTCCTTGAATGACATGATTTTTAGGGAAAATTCTGTGGCTAATGACGCTGTGGCCTCAAGTAGCCAAGTATACAAATAGTAATATTCCCCTTAAAAACAGGACATACAGTGCATATCCTATAAACCACTCCCCTTGCTGGCCACCTACAAAATGCATTATTAAGAGAGTGGGATCTCAATATGATTTTGTTTCACTTCTGTTTAAAGTCATTCTGCACACCTTAATTTTATTCCCACCGATTTTCCTCCCCTTGGTCTCTTTTACAGCTGCTTGTGCATATTCAATTTCATTGTAGAGAACCAGGGCCATGCCTTTTAAGCGGTCAAACACCACCTATAAAAAACAACAAAAAAACAAAACAAAAACCAAATAAGAGCCTCATCCACTAGACTTAGTGTCAGTCCCAAGAAAATCCTAAGTCTCAAGGACGCTGCCAAGAAAAATCATATTTATTATTTTTTATTCTAGAAAAAATATCAGGCTTTTCCTGGTGATGCATGTTGTAGTGAAAACACACAATAAAAATGTGGAGGGACTGTTTACAATTGTGGATATTGTGGCTTGAGGTATATCATGCCTTTATTTTGTTTTTCTGTATTTTATTTTCCATGTTGACTGAATCCTGTACTACAGTCAAGTAAGCATTCTTATAGCTCTGGCTCAAAAAAAAAAAAAAACAAAACAAAACACCACACCCTTGAAAGAGAGAGAATACTGAATCAACAATAAATTTCAGTGAATTCTGGTTATAAGTAGAATTCTTAACTTAAAGCTGCTGGATTTTTTATTTATGCTAGCAGTCTTTATGTTGTGTGTCTCTCCAAATGACAAAAGCTACACTGAAAGAAATGCCATGCCCACCACAGTGTGAATCTGCTCTTAAGGAGTTCAAAGCTCTCCTTTCACATAATGGAATGGGGTCCAGAGACCCTCCTCCTGCTGGGCGCAGGTACATACATTACCAACATCGGTTAGATGTGTATTCATTCTGTTGTATGATTGTCCCTTTAAAGTCATCTTGTTTGTTTTTTTTAAATGAAGTCAATTACATATTAATGTGAATGTAAATAATTAATTAGACTAATTTTAATGAGATAAAATTATAAAAACCCCTAAGAAACATTCTATTTAACAGTATTATGCAAATTAGATTCAAAATTAATCTTGGCTAGTTCAAAATAGTTTTCCAAAATACTTCCTCATATCATAAGCTAATAGATACAGATGCCCTTCTATGACAAGTTATGAGTGATTAAAGAAAATGTCCACACTAAAACTTGGGGCTGACAGGACAGAATACCGAGAAGAGGAAGTCAGAAGTAACTTGACACCAACACCAAAACCTCCCACTTACCTTTACCACAGGCCCATATCGGCAGAAATGTCGTGTTAAATACTGATCAGACACGTTTGAAGAAAGCCCATCTAACCACACGCAGTTTGTAGGCATGCTTTTTCCAAAACCCAGCTGGACAGGAGAGGTAAAATTTCTATTAGTAAAGTCACCAATTATTCAACTACAGAATTCTGAAAAAAACCTGTCTTCTGTAGGAATCTTATCAACTATCATCCCAAAGGGCAACCATCTGGTTAAAATCAAACAAATTTATATAAAACCAATTCTGCCAGGCTAAGCAAGTATTAATTCATCAGATTTTAGTTTATGGACTCTAGGCACTTAGCTTTTTTTCTCCTCCTAGATTTTATTTTTTATTTATTTTTATGTATTTATTTTTAAAGATTTTATTTATTTATTTGACAGAGCACAAGCAGGGGGAGCAGCAGGCTCCCCAGTGGGGCTCAATCCCAGGACCCTGGGATCACATGAGCTGAAGGCAGATGCTTAACCGACTGAGCCACCCAGGCACCCCTATTTTTTATTTTTTAAAAGATTTATTTATTTACGGAGCGTCTGGGTGGCTCAGTCGGTTAAGCGTCTGCCTTCGGCTCACGTTGTGATCCCAGGGTCCGGGGATCGAGCCCTGTGTCTGGCTCCCTGCTCTGAGGGGAGCCTGCTTCTCCCTCTCCCTCTCCCTCCCCCAGCTTGTGCTCTCTCGCTCGCTCATTCTCTCAAATAAATAAATAAATGTTTAAAAAAAGAGTTATTTAGGGGCACCTGGGTAGCTCAGTCGTTAAGTGTCTGCCTTTGGCTCAGGTCACGATCCCAGCGTCCTGGGATCTAGCCCTGCACTGGGCTCCCTGCTCCGTGGGGAGCCTGCTTCTCCCTTTCCCACTCCCCCTGCTTGTGTTCCCTCTCTCCTGCCTCTCTCTCTGTCAAATAAATAAATAAAATCTTAAAATCAATCAATCAATAAATAAAATAAGAGTTATTTATTTATTTATGAGGGTGGCAGAAGGAGAGGGAGTCTCAAGCAGACTCCATGCTAACAGAGCCCAATACGAGGTTGGATCTCAGGACTGTGAGATCACGACCTGAGCAGAAACCAAGAGTCACACACTCAACCCACTGTGCCACCCAGGTGCCCCAATATTTTATTTTTTAAGTAATCTCTACACCCATCATGGGACTTGAACTTACAACCCTGAAATCAAGAGTCACACGCTCTACAGACTCAGCCAGCCAGGCACCCCAGCAGGTATTAGTCCAGTGGGTAGTATAACAGGTGAGGATGCAGACAACTGTGTCACCTTCATGATTATCTAACTGTACTGCAGTTTTAAATAATCAGACTTACACACAAAAAGCCTCCAAATCATAACAAATCGTAACAGCACAATAACTTATGCAAAGTCCTTTACCTTGAGGCGGTTATTTCCAAGGTACTCCCCATCCATCTTCTTAATAGCCTTACAAACACTGGCAATATCACAGTACTGCAAGAATGCATACTGAGGAACTCCATTTACTTTCTTAATATCAATATCCTGAAAAAGCCAATGAGCACCACTCAGTGACATGCCGAAAGGAAAAAAAGCAGAATAATCCAAACCCAAATGAGGTGCGTATTTCTCAAAACAAGTCATATTCCCAAAAATCATTTTCTTAGTTAAAATTGTACATCGTGATGCAACTGTAAATAGCGTGAAAGACTACACAACACAGCATTTTTTAGTCACAACCATGAAAACCTTCCTATGCGAAGCTCTTCGCAGAAGAGAAATTGCAAACTCAAAATTTAAAATCCACAATACCTGTGTTAAGAGAAATTTATAAAGAAAAGGTTGTGCTTGTTTCAAGCGGTACATATACTAAAACTGGAATACAGAGAAGGTTAATAGTGCTCGCTTCGGCAGCACATATACAGAGAAGATTAATAAAGAAAAGGCAGCCTTGGGGTGCCTGGGTGGCTCAGTTGTTAAGTGTCTGCCTTCGGCTCAGGTCATGATCCCAGGGTCCTGGGATCGAGCCTTGCGCATCAGGCTCCCTGCTCAGCGGGAAGCCTGCTTCTCCCTCTCCCTCTGCCTGCTTGTGTTCCCTCTCTCGCTGTGTCTCTCTCTGTCAAATAAATAAAATCTTCCAAAAAAAAAAAAAAAGAAAACAAAAGAAAACAAAAGAAAAAAGAAAAGGCAGCCTATTTAATAAAAACATAAGAAATACAGTTGACCCTGAACAACAATGTGGTGGCGGGGTGGGGGAGGGGGCGGTTAGGCGCCAACCCCCAAGGCAGTTGAAAATCCAAATATAACTTTTGACTCCCCCAAAACTTAACTACCACAGCCTACTGTTGACCAGATGCCTTGCAGATAACATAGGCAATTAACACATATTTTGTATATATTATTACTGTACTCTTAAAGTAAGCTGGAGAAAAGAGAATGTTATTAAGAAAATATTAAGGAAAAAAAGTTCACAAATAAGTGGATCCATGCAGTTAAAACCCATGCCGTTCAAGGGCCAACTGTAATTCCCTTCTGCAACAATCTAAAATCCTTATTAGGGGCATCTGAGAAGAGTACGAACGGTAAAGAAATCAAGTTTTCAGGGGCGCCCGGGTGGCTCAGTTGGTTAAGCGACCGCCTTCAGCTCAGGTCATGATCCTGGGACCCTGGGATCGAGCCCCACATTAGGTTCCCAGGTCAGTGGGGAGCCTGCTTCTCCCTCTGACCCTCTCCCCTCTCATGCTGTTTCTCACTCTTTCTCTCTCAAATAAATTTTTTTTTTTTTAATTTTATTTACTTATTTGACAGAGAGAAACACAGTGAGAGAGGGAACACAAGCAGGGGGAGTGGGAGAGGGAGAAGCAGGCATCCCGTGGAGCAGGTAGCCCAATGCGGGGCTCGATCCCAGAACACTGGGATCATGACCTGAGCCGAAGGCAGACGCTTAACGGACTGAGCCACCCAGGCGCCCCAAATAAAATCTTTAAAAAAAAGAAAGAAAGAAAGAAATCAAGTTTTCAAAAAGTGATTTTTTTTTTTTATGATTTTATTTATCTGACAGAGCGAGAGAGGGAACACAAGCAGGGGGAGTGGGAGAGGGAGGCTTCCCGCTGAGCAGAGAGCCCGACACAGGGCTCAATCCCACATGACCTGAGCCGAAGGCAGACACTTAACCAACTGAGCCACCCAGGCACCCCTCAAAAAGTGATTTAAAATTTCAATCCTAAATTAAAAGACTCATTCTATCAATGTATCTAATGGAACCAAGGCTGGTGACTGATATATATGGTAATAACCTCTCATATCCAGAATCAATAAATATATAAATACCCAAACTACTTTGTGAAGATATATCAGAACACCATCCCTAGATTAAAGAAATACTCTATAAAGGCATAACCCCATCTCTTTATTTAAGTTTATTTATTTTTTAAGTAATCTCTATACCCAACATGGGGCTCAAACTTACAACCCTGAGATCAAGAGTCCCATGGTTTTTCAACTGAACCAGCCAGGCGCCCCTAGCCCTATCTCTTTAGAATGCTTGAACCCCGTACTCACACCTGACACTCTGGTCCTGCCTACTCAGACAAGGTGGTGTAAAAATCTGGCTTACCCAAACATGAAAATGGTCGAGAGAGGCAAAACTTATACTCAAACAATAATGACCCATATTGTGATTATCTAAAGTATTCTGTAAATCACAATCTAAAGTATTGTGATGATAGAAGCCTCTTAAGGGTCATAAGCCAAAAATCAAAAGCTGAAATAGAGCAAAATGAATAATGCATTTAAAGAGCTATTTGAGGAGTCCTTTAAAAAAGCAGTAATTTATATTCAAAATGGTTCTACTTAAGTAATGGTAAGCAGGAGCTGATTTTCACCACAATGTAGAAGGTAACAACCCAGGATAACTCCATTTAAGAGAAATGGTCTCCAAAGAGTACTGGTGGGTAGACTCACCACATAGGTTCTTCTAGCTATAGCATAATCTGTTATCGATAAGCAGCAGACCATTTTCCCAAAGTTTGTGTGTCGTTAAAACAGTCACCCTCATAAGCAATTGCAAGCATGATGAGATGTGGTTTTCAAAAAGAATGTTGACGTGGCCATCTTACTGAGAGGCATGGCCCTTAAAACACAATAATCACTCCATTTTCAGCAACCCTGTTGATGAAAATGTACCTGTGTCCAAATACAACTTCTTATACTGCCCCAAAATTCAAAGTAGCAGCCACACTCAAATGTGGGTCTGAAAGTTTTATCAGTTATGAATTAACTCATAAATGCCAATGAGCAAATTAAGTATTAGATCACTGTCTAAAGACAGAAAAAGCTGGAGCCCACATAGGCAGGTGAACTCCAGGTCACTCACCTAAGCAGTAGAGCTGGAATTAGAGTATATGATAAAAGAACTTAAAATAATTGAAAAAGAAAGGAAAATGTATGTTTTTCTGTTTCTCTAAATATATACCTTCTGTTTTTTCTTGACTTTCTACCAACCACTTCTCTCTCGTTCCTACTCCCTGTAAGATGAGGTTAGATCAGCTACAAGCACAAATGTTTTATTCTCTAGATTACATCACTAAAAAAATAAGATTTTTGCTTACAACATCAGTGTATAGATAAGGATGGATAGCTGGATGGGTGTGCGCACACACACACGCACACCTGAAAGATGAACAACTGTTGTCCCTACCCAGAACATCTTTTTATTCTCCAAAGTCCAAAATTACACAGCAATTTCTTTGCTGTTATTAATACAGAGGAAGTCTAGGAAAGACAGAAATAATTTTCCTATTTTTTCAAACACAAAACAAAATAGTATATGTATCCCAAGGGTACAAAGCTGTAACCAAACTATTTTCATTAGAAAGTGACTTAAAACAAGTCACGAAGAACAGAAAAACCCTCCAAATTCCTAAATTTAACAATGACTTGCATAATATAAAAAGTGATTCTAATTAAAATTTCAAAATAGAACAGAGCTTCTGGCATGACATCCACATTCTAGTAATCCCCAAGGTAGTCTGATGTGCACTGTGAGAACACAATACTCATACACTAAGCTCCTACTTCTTTCTTACAAACATATTATCTCTTCTTTATTTTCCTTCCAACCCACAGGACTAGAGATGGCTTTGAACAGCACCCATGGACAAAGAAAAATGGATACAAAAATATATATGTAAACAAAATAAGGACAAATATCTATTACACAGTTTTACATATACACATAAAACAGTCCCCCAGTGAGTTTTGCTGGATCATCTTTTAGCAGGAGTTAAAAAACACATAGGGCAAATGAGAAAAATATTTATTACACCACCTAAATATCATCTTTCCAAATATAATCTGTACTATGCTTTATGTTTTACGACAAAGATCTAAAACTGTTTTTACTGTAAAAAGCAACATACCACAATTTCTCCAAAGCGCTGGAAGATGTTGCGAAGGTCATGGTAAGTAGTGGTTTTTTCAAGGTTGCCAATGAAGAGGGTTCTTGTTGCTTTGGGGTGAAATTCATCTATCCTTTCATCCAAAGGACGAAATTCATTTTCACTTTCCGTTTCTGTTAAGTGGGATGGGGGCAGAGTAAAAAGAGAAGAGTTTGTTTTTATTTTTTATTTTTTTAAGCCGAAGGCAGACGCTTAACGACTGAGCCACCCAGGCGCCCCTGTTTGTTTGTTTTTAAAGTAATCTCTACACCCAAAGTAGGTCTCAAACTCACAATCAAAAGATCAAGAGTTGCATGCCCTACTGACTGAGCCAGGCAGCTGCCCCAAAACAAAGTGTTTTAATGTGTATTTATATATCATGGGAAAATCTACACTTGAGAAGCTATGTCTCTGAAATATTGCCTTTGAATAATATACAGTCTGAAAAATTATATACACCTTCAGAAATAGCTGCCTTTTGCTAACTCCAAAGGCTAAAGAAACTTGCCAACAAAACTTAGGGGGAAGTAGCATTTTCTTTGATCTTTAAAACAGAAAAGTGGGACTGAATTTCAGTCTGTAAGTTGATTTGTTTTAAAAATAATCACTGACACAGAAATAGATTTTAAACCCCAGCAAAAATAGTAATTACTTAAGCCTAATCTTAGGTTCCAAAAATTATGCAGCAGGCTCTCAATGTGAAGTATAAAACTACAATCTGAAACACACATAAAACTCAACTGAAAATAGCCCAGCTTCATTACTTAATTTACTTTTCAACATTTTAGAAAATATTTAGCAGTTTACATTTGTCATACTAATTAACAAAGCCCAAGTGTCTACATGTAGCAATTGTTAGATACAAGAATAATAACTGTATGAAAACGGACTGAAGCAGCACTGACTACAAACTTGCTGCTGCAAGGTTCCCAATGATGAACAAGAAACTCAATGACTCTAAGGTTTCTGTTTCTTATGATCAAAAGCCCTGGTTCAATGTCTCATTCAAGCACAGCCTTTCTCTGAAGCTCCATTTCTAAACTTGGTCCAGGGCAGAACATTCAATGTTTTGTCGATAATAACTATAATACAGCCTGTGTGTTCTCTCTTTTTTAATGTAAAACAAAGCCAGTCAAAAGGTTAGTATTTAATCAGCTTGACTGAAACAAAGTGTTTAGGGCCACGCACTGAATATTACTGATGTCAACAACACTGATATTAAAAAGATTCAACTTCTGAGCTGCTGAGTGAACTCAGAACACACCTCAATCCTGATTCCAGTTTCATAGGTCTAATGATGGCCCAGCTTACCCTTTCTAGCCTCATCAAGGAATATGTACTTTCACGGAGTCAGGTGGACCCAGAAATTGCCAGGGCTCATGTACCTGTCTCTATCCTGTATTTTCATCATGTCTCCTAGGGAGAGATCTCATTTCAAGATCGACTAGGTCTTCTTGAAACTACCTAACTAACAGAGGGCACATATTCAGGAATATTTCATTTAAAAGGGGAGAAAAATAAAGACAAAATAATTCAGACACATCTGAGGTTTACATTCCAAAAGTCAGAATAAGAAGGATAAAGCCTAATTTGCAACCATTTAAATCTACACCGGTTTCATTTCCACCAAATAGCTCAGTAAACATTTCAAATCCAGAAATTCAGTTTAACAAAGATTTTTAAAAACTGTATTTTCCATAAGTAATCTACTTAATCTTCATGACCACTTTAAGTCTTAATGCCTATACATCATTTAAAAAATTCTTTTATCGGGGTGCCTGAGTGGCTCAATCGGTTAAGCATCTGCCTTCAGCTCAGGTCATGATCCCAGGGCCCTGGGATCGAGTCCCACATTGGGCTCTCTGCTCAGCAGAGAGCCTGCTTCTCCCTCTGCCTGCCACTCTGCCTATCTGTGCTGTCAAATAAATAAATAAAATCTTAAAAAAAAAAAATTCCTTTATCCTGCAATTTCATGTTTACAGGACTGTAATGCTCTGCAGAGGACTAAGAAAGCACAATCTTAAAAGCCACCAGGGGTCTATCTGCAAAGTTGGGCTTCTTGGATTAAATCTTTTTTAACTCCAAGAGGTCCTTGGCCTCAGGAAACAATCAGCTCCATATGTTTCAATACAAAACATTTATGACTTAACCATCCAACAACATAATTCCATCCATGTCTCCATACTCACATTCGACTGCTTTCAAATATCCCATTCAACAAGTGTTTCATGCTGTTCCATCTGAGAAAAGTACCTTCAAGCTTTCCTATGCCTGAACCAAACTTCTCAAAATCTTCAATGGCACATGGTTAAAGCCCAATTTACATCCTAGGTGCTAACTAATTAGGTAAAATGCTTTTTTGCAGTAAAAATGTCAAGCTAGCCCCATGACTTGGAGATCTGAGGGACATCTATTAATAATGCCCCTGAATTAGATCCCCATTACTTAATAATTATATATGGCTCTAAAAACTTTCTATATAGATTATATGACAATCTAAATATTACTCCTCAGGCCAATTGTGACCTGTTCTAAATATGTTAAATAAGAATTCCTGAGTTGCACTCAGCTCAGTATAACTTAGGCCAGTACATCTCAAACTTGGCAGAGGAGGGAATGTGAGGGCATAACCTATAATCCCTTTGAATTCCTGTGTTTATAAAATTATACACATTTTGCAGTCTTCCTTCTAACAACTCTGTGCTTGTTTTAATATATACAAATAACATCTACATATTCTTATCAGGGAAATTCCATTTTTTCTTAATTGCCAAATAGATGACTATTCCAAGAGAATGGGCTGTTTACCCTATAAATTCCACTCAAAGTTTTAGTATTTTTTTTTTTTTTTAAGTAGCTCTATACCCCAACATGGGGCTTGAACTCACAACCCTCAGATCAAGGTCCACATGCTCCACGGACTGAGCCAGCCAGGTACCCCTCAAAGTCTTAGTCTTGAAGTTTGTCTCAGCTACATAATGTGACTGCATAATTTAAACATTTCTGTGTACTCCTCCACAAATTTACTTACAAAGTTGCCTTAAATCAGGGGTTCCCAAACTTGGGTATGTGAATTCTGAACCATTAAGCTGGGACAGGGTCAAAGAGTCTGGGTTTTAAACAAGCACTATAGGTGGTTCTCAAAAAGAAGAAACACTGACCCAAGCCATGCCTGAGAAGACTTCCTGCCTTACAACAGGTCTTACAGGCAGGTTCAAACTAATAAAATGTCCTCTTGAAACTCTCAGTGGGTCACACTCCTAAGACCTAGCCCTGATTTTCTTTGTCACTATCTCTCAAGGTCATGGAAACTCGAACAACAGATCCAATTTGTGCTGGGCATAATAGAAATAAAACTGGTCTAACTAGTGCCTCAAATCAGTGTAACAAGTAGTCTGTTTTCTAATTCAAGGTAATTCTGATGTCATTCTCCTAAGAACTATATCCTTATCTCAATTCAATCCTTTTGGGAAGGCAGGACTCAAAAAAGGGCTAAAACTCCATGTTTCAGACTCTTCAAAGTCAGTATTTCTCCCTTACAGGAACAGAACTACCTTTACCCTCCCTAACCAAAACATAATTTTATTAACTTGGACAACAAATGTACCAATCTTTAAAACAGAAGACACTGGAAGTAAGTCAATAAAGAAAGCTGGACTAGCATCCAGATTCACACTAAGATGCTGCCTTTTCACAAGCTGAAATACAAATTATACTAAAAATTAGCCTCCTTTCTCTTACCTGGCCCTATCCATGCTGTTACTTCAATCTGCATGCCAAAGAAAAGTTTTCCTTTTGATGCAGTCAGTGCTTTTTCTTGGTCCTCTTGCTGCCGAAAGAATACCAGACCATACCTCTCTTCTGAAGCTCCATGGATCTGCACTGAAGTCACCTTTCCAAATTTCTTAAATTCATGGAAAAGGCCATCTTTAAGGCTTGTATCTAAATCCCCCCCCAAAAAAACAAGGTGCTTATTTTTCTAATTTAGTTACAACTCAGTAAGCTAAGAAATCTTTAGCTTGATTTTTTTGACCTAAATTTTGTTAGCATTAAAACATTTCTCTTTCAAATAAGATAACCCTAAAAACGCATTTTAGAGACTCCTGTACAACTGTGAAAATAAACTGAGTATCGGAAGGTGGTTATTTGTTAGATAAGAATGACATTGTGGCTATGCGGAAAACCCGCCCTCCTATTTTACAAACAACTACAGAAGTATGTATCTTTAAGTTGGTATGAAACGATGTAATAACATCAGGGATTCACTTTAAAAAACACGCACACAACAAGAACGGAAGGAAGGAAAGTGGAAACAGTTAAGGCAAGTCTGGCAAAATACTGACAATTTTTAAATCTGGGGTATGGAGTAAGGGGCGTTCATTTTGCTACTACCATTTTTGGTTAAGTTTAAAACTTCCATAGTAAAAATTTTATATACACAAATACATACATACATATATAAAACTTTTAAAGACATGAGAAAGAAAGCTGTATTTCTAGCTTTCCAAGCATCATGTCAATGATAAAATTGTGTGGCAAGCAGAATGTAACATGCTAACAACTCTTAAGGTTTTCTACAGATGAATCATACTATCTGGAGGGTCTTGTGTTAATTTGCTTCATTATAAAAATTAAAATTGTATAGAAAGACAAGCAAATTTTACACCCATCCACTCCTAAAGAACTAAGTATTCTAAATCAAAAGCTCATCAACACATGTGCCCCAATATCTCTATGCACAAACCTGGTTATGTAGGTTTTAGAGGCTGCGTTAATGAATAATTTAATCATGAAATGCACTTACCTAAGAAGTACTAAGTTTGGTCTTTGTTGGTTTGACCATCTACTAACAGTTGTTTACATATTCAATATGCCTAATGTAGAAATAACAGTATAGCATGGTCGATTGTCAATTAAAAATATTAAGAGTAAAAAGGACTTCAGTATAGCTTTTAACTAGACTTTTCCATTATTCATGATTTTCCTCATTTACAATGTTAATATTTTGAAGTGTGTTTCCTATCATAGTTTTATGTTCAAAGTTTTTTCACAGAACACAGGACTCCAGGACAATAAATTTAACTGAAAATAGTATTTCTACAATTTCATCATATCAAATTTCCCCTAATATCAAAATATTTAACCTAGATAGCATATTTAAAAAAAAAAACCATGCTTTTATAGAACATGCACCATACAGTCTTTGTGTATGTATGTACATACAATGTGTATAATATATACGCATATATGCATGTCTATAGTAAATACAAGAAACATGCAATCTTCATACACATAAAGTTATAATCATCGCTTGCTTTTTCTTACATGGCATTAAATATTAATGAACCACAAGAAGAAAGCTTGTTGTCACAGCACAGAACTTAAGATTCTCAGTCTCACATTCCCCCCAATAGTAGCATGAGAGGGAAGTACAGCGATATAAACTTTTACCTGTAGAGCGTACTGGAAGATTCTGAACCTTGATCCCAAAACTTTTACGTGGCTCATCTTTTTCCAGGGATGAAAGCAACTGGGAAGTAGGTGCTGGGACAGCTGCTGACTGAACCGATCGGGCGGGAGAGTCGTCACTTGAACTACTGCTGGAATCAGTGCTGCAGAAAGACCAAAAAAAAAAAAAAAAAAAAAGACAAAAGAGAGAATGAGCAGCATATAAAACTTCTTAAAATCAACAAGTAGAAACAATTAAAAGCAATCATCTACATTTCAGGTCTGGGATTTCTGGCCGCCCTCCCCTCTTCACACGTACTTCACACTCCTGCCTTAGAAGGCAGAACAGAGCAAACCTCAGCCTGAAGAAGGAGAAGTGTTGATCTTTTACCACCACACGCCCTCTGAAGACGAATGTTTCATTCTGTGCAAAATGGGAACAACTTTTTCCAAATGAAGTAAGACTAATAAATGCAAGTCACTTAACGGTAATAATAAAAGAACACTGAATGTATGGTTTTGGATTCAGAGACCTCAATTCAAATTCTGGACTTAGATGTATAGCACGTATCCTTGGACAAGGAACTTAACCTCTTGCTAAGCCTCCGTTTCCACATCTATAAAATGGAAATAATAAAAGTACCTATCTTGCAGGGTTATGAATTAAGTAAAATAACCCACAGGTTTACAGAGTTTAGAATATGACAGTCATCAATGAATGAAGCGACATTGCTCTGTCACTCTGACTGCTGCCACCACCGCCACCATCATCTCAGGGGTGCATTAATTTTGAGGAAAACAAAAATACCCAAAATAATTTCCTAGATAATTTTAAGTATTTGGGGGACTAATGAAGAAATATTATGTAAGTTACTTGAGTCTTGTTGATTTAGGCTCTTTTCTCTGTGAGTAATGTGGGAGTCAATGAAATTGAGAATTTATTACTCTTCAGTTTGATACAATCCTCGAAGGGAGAGACAGTTGAAAGCCAAGAAAATATTACCTACACATTCACATTAAGGGAGATATATTTAAACAAGTTTATTAGGCCTAAGAACTATATGAATAATAGGAAAGTCTCCTTTCAGTACCGGATGTGCAAAGACTGCCATGGTTTTGTTCTGTTATAGCATTCTCAAATATATTAATTAAAAGCTATATTTACAGAGTCTGCTATTTATTTACAGGTTTCTGAAATTTTGCTTCATACTTTTCCCCTCTCTATTGTGGAAGGCTTATCTTTTAAGCAAATAACTCCAGGGGTGAGGGGAAGTGGGAGGAGGGGGGGGTTTAATCCACCTCAAGCATACACACTACAGGAAAGACCTGATAGCTTTTGTCATCTGAGCTAAAACGACAGCTCTCACAGCCAAGACACTCTCTAAACCAGCCAGGTAAATAAATCCAACTCAACAAACTAAGGCAAACTTGCCACTGCTTTTTTAAAAAATAAACAAATACTGTAAGAAAACAGGGTATTATAACTAAGAATTTACACAGCATTTTTATTGAGCTCTCACATGCTAGGGCAAAAGATGAAAACGTCACAAGGTTATCAGAGCTCCCTGAAGTTTGCAACATAGAGAAATAAACCTATGCTAGTAAGATCCAAAAGGACCTATGTGAGTTACAAAATACAAACTACTTGGGATAGAAGCCTTAAGACAGGACCACAGATTGTCACTGCAAGGCCTCCTATACATACCTAGGCTTCAGTTTTCCCTATAAAAAGAATTTTTTTCTAGATCACTCAGTAAAAGTAGTGTTACTAGCACTAGGTGAACAGGATACTATATGTTCATTCAAATTAAGGGTTAATAAAATTAATCTGTTTAGCACAGAAGGGAAAAAAATGCCTGTTATATGTATTAAGTCCTCCAAGTAATACAAGATTATTGGCAAAGCCACCACATGATTACAGTATAGAATACGTTATAGGACTATCAATTTCAATGACTCATAAAAAAACCATTACCGAAAATACTTTAATTACAATACTGCCAATATTATAAACACCAAAATTCCTTAGCAGCAGTGGTAAAGTAAATATGGACAAGAGCAGAATTTCTACTACTGAAAGAATCAGTGAGGCAACAAACACCAAGTTCTATATAAGTCTGTGTCATAAAAATGGAGGTGAGGGGCGCCTGGATGGCTCAGTTGGTTAAGCATCTGCCTTTGGCTCAGGTCATTATCCCGGAGTCCCAGGATTGAGCCCTGCATCAGGCTCCCTGCTCAGCTGGAGGCCTGCTTCTCCTTCTCCCCGTCTAGTGTATGCTTTCTCTCTCTTGCTCTCTCTTGCTCTCTCTCAAATAATCTTAAAAACAAAAAGGGTCCTGGAATCAAGCCCTGAGTCAGGTTCCCACTCAGCAGGGAGTCTCCTTCTCCCTCTCCCTCTGCACCTCCCCCAGCTTGTGCCCTTGCACTCTCTCGCTCGCTCTCTCTCACCCTCAAATAAACAAAATCTTAAAAAAAATAGCAACAATGATTTTTTTAAATGTTTTATTTATTTGACACAGAGACACAGCGAGAGAGGGAACACAAGCAGGGGGAGTGGGAGAGGGAGAAGCAGGCTTCCCGCTGAGCAGGGAGCCCGATGTGGGGCTCATTCCCAGGACCCTAGGATCATGACCTGAGACGAAGGCAGATGCTTAACGACTGACCCACCCAGGTGCCCCAACAATGATTTTTTAAAATACAAAATAGTGATAGAAATTAAATTTGTTATAAATGCCACTGCACTCTTGGTGAATTCCCTACTACCACACTAATTTTGAAAGGAAATGTAGAATTTAACTGGCAGAATTTTCTGCTGACCAATTTGAAATAACTACAAAGGGGGAAAGGTTTTAGCGATTGGTTGATTGATTGACTGATTGATTGATATTTGGGGGGGTGAGGGGCAGGGGGTAAGGGGCAGAGGAGGAGGGAGAGGGACAAGCAGACTCTATCCTGAGCACACAGTGCCACAGGAGGCTCTGTTTACTACCCTGAGATTATGACCTAAGCCAAAAGGAAGAGTTCAAAGCTTAACTAACTGAGCCACCCAGGCACCCCAAAGGGGGAAAGGTTTTAAAATGAATTAGGAAATGATAAAATGACTCAACCTGAGTTCACATTTTGATATGCTAATCTAAACTGCAATGTGCATTTCCAGTGTAGTCTATTAAATGTACTATGGATTTTAAGATCATAAATCAAAATGGGGGCATAAATTTAGATCCCCAAATACTTTTCAGTCCTATTAAACTGATAGAAAGCCCAAGTGCCCAGAAGAGCCATGTCACTTTTAATTTTTAAAAATTCCTTTTTTCATAATTCTGTTAAAACTGAAGAATCACAACAGTTCATCAAAGCATATGATATAGGGGCACCCAGGTGGCCTAGTCAGTTAAGAGTCCAACTCTTGATTTCGGCTCAGGTCATGATCTTGGGGTCGTGAGATCAAGCCCCTCATTGGGCTGGGCTCCCCACTGGGAGTGGAGTCTGCTTAAGATTCTCTCTCCCTCTCTGACTGCTCTCTCATGCATGCTCTCTCTAAAAATAAATAAATCTTTGGGGGGGCATATGATATATAGTTTATAGTTGTTTTTTGAAAGCCAAAAGTAGTTAATCAGAATCTATTCCAATCTAAACTGTTTTAAAGTAGTATTAATGATGATTTATCAACTAATAGTTTCAAGAAAGTGAACTTTAAATTTACCTGGTCACATCAATATTACATTTTCAAAATCAATTAAAAGTTCTAAATGGTGGGGCGCCTGGGTGGCTGAGTTGTTAAACGTCTGCCTTCGGCTCAGGTCATGATCCCAGGGTCCTGGGATCGAGCCCCACATTGGGCTCCCTGCTCAGCGGGAAGCCTGCTTCTCCCTCTCCCACTCCCCCTGCTTGTGTTCCCTCTCTCGCTGTGTCTCTGTCAAATAAATAGGTAAAATCTTAAAAAAAAAAAAAAAAAAAAGTTCTAAATGGTAAAGAATTTGAAAAAAAAAACAACACATTTAAAAAAATTTTTTTAAAGATTGTATTTATTTCAGAGAGAGCAAGCTCACAACCAAGGGTCCTAGGATCAAGCCCTGAGCTGGGCTCCCCTATTCACGCTCTCTTTCTCTGAAATAAATACAATCTTTTAAAAAAAAAAAAAGATTACTAAGAAAACTAAGAAGCAGATCTTATAGAAATTTCCATAATGGAAAAATATAATAAGCAACTACTTAACAATTTTTAACACAGCTTTAATAGGAACATTTTACTAATAAAAGGGAAAATGCAGAAATTACAAAAGGCAATTTATTAGGAAGCAGATAAAAAGGAATAAACATAGGCGTGCCTGGGTGGCTCAGTCTGTTAAGCATCTAACTCTTGATTTTGGCTCAGGTCATGATCTCATAGTCATGAGATCAAGCCCTGCATGGGGCTGGCTCAGTGGGTAGTCTGCCTGAAGATTCTCTCCCTCTGCCCCTCCCCCCACACTCACACATTTTCTCTCTCTCTCTCAAATAAATCTTTAAAAAAATAAAAAAAGGTGGGGCGCCTTGGTGGCTCAGTCGTTAAGTGTCTGCCTTTGGCTCAAGTCCTGATCCCGGGGTCCTGGGATCAAGCCCCACGTCAGGCTCCCTACTCTGTGGGAAGCCTGCTTTTCCCTCTACCACTCCCCCTGCTTGTGTTCCCTCTCTCACCGTGTCTCTCTCTGTCAAATAAATAAAATCTTTAAAAAAATAAAAATAAATAAAAATAAAAAAAGGAATAAACATAAAGCTATACTAAAGGGCACCTGAGCTGGCCATGCAGTTGTATGAACAATTAGGAGTACATGAAACCAGGTGGCCTCCCAACAAAACTATATGGAGGATACTGGTCAGTGCCCAGTGATAACCTGTGGCAGGCGCTCCCTGTCTTCCGCATGGGCAGCCACAGCTTGGGGAGAAGCCTACCTCCCTGAGCCCCACTGGGACCCTGCTGCCCCTCCCCACCCCAGCTGGACCAGCTCCCCTCCAGTGCAAGTATCTGCATCAGAGAACCATTCCCCTGGCTGCAAGGACAGGCACCTGCAGCTCTAGAATCCCCATCTCGCAGGTCTACCCTTGCCATGGTCTACAAGGGCCTAGGCCACCAGGGCAAGGACAAGGCCCTCTAGCCAAGGGACCTCTACTACATAATAATTCTT